ATGGACCTAGAAGATCCTAGTATGTGATCTCTTGCCAGCAAGATCACACAGACGTGGAAGGTCTTTCTTTGGATGTTATCTCTTTTCAGAACAGCCATGATCTGAACTAGTATTCCTCTACAACTCATAGATCCACTCCAGTTCTCTGAGAGCTTGCACATCTGATGATTTGTCCACTATCTCCATTCAAATTACTTGTGTCTTTGAATCTGAACTCCAGCTCCTTTAGAAAATGTGTTGCTGAACTCTCTTTTTTATCACTCTGAAAATGTCTGCCATTTTGTATTGAGTGTTTAGACCACTCATCATTTTATAATTATTAATATGGTCAGACGTATATTTGCCATGTTACTGGCTGTTCAATATGTGTCTTCTGTTTCATTTCTTCTTTTGATTCTGTCATTGCCTTTTTGTGTTGCTTACAGGGCAATGATTCCAACCTTTTCTTTATGACAAAAATTATTTCATTATGATTGCCAATAAGACAACAGTTGATTTTGGATGATAAATGGGACTGTGTTTATCTTCTACTGTTTGCTCTCTTCCTTACTCCACTTCTTGAAGAAGTAGGTGAATAAATAATTATTTAATATGTGGGTTATGGAGAAGTCTAGAATAGTATGCACATATGTGTAGAGTAGTTATTGACTCCCACAGAAGGGCGTAACTTCATTAGTGTCTTCTCCATATCTAGGGAAAGTGTTTGATATGTATTTATACCAAGAAAAATTTAAATATAATATTTCTACTTTGAAAATAAAGACTTGAAACATGTAATTCTGATGCTTCCATGATCGTTGTTTATAAACTATTGTATTTTAAAATTTTCCACCCTAGGCGATTTTTCCCACTTTGCTGAGAAGAGTGCCCAGTTGGTAAAGTGCCCACTGTAAAAATAAAACGCTGAGTTTGGATCTCCAGTGCCCACACATAGAGTTGGTAACGGTGGTGTTGAGCATAGTAGGCTAGAGTTGTGGAGGCAGAGATGAGAAGATTCTTATAGCTCCCTGGTCAGCTAGTCTTGACAACTGATGAGCTCTAGGTTACAAAGAGACTTTGTCTCAAAAAATACAGTGGGGAGTGATAGAAACCTGATGTTGACATCTGGTCTCTTACACACATATGTGTGTGCATGTACACACTTTACACACACACACACACACACACACACACCAGAGAGAGACAAAGAGTGAGAGAGGGAGAGAAAGAGAGAGAAAACAAAAGTTAAAAACATATGCTTATTTTTAACAAATTCAAATATATCTCTAGAAATCATTTCCATGAGTCTTCCTCCAGAGGGTTTATACTTCATAACAAGGAGGAAGAAATGGTAAAAGATCTGGACAGGCCTTTTGTGTTTCCCAGTCTACCCTATTAGTAATCATGCTCTGCGGGGAAGTGTCTGCAATTTCCCAAAACACAAGGTCCAGGGAGCTTCCAAACAACTAAACAAATGGAGGTTCCTAGGGAGCAGTCCCCAGAGAGACTTGGGAGCTGTGTTCATCTTCCCCATCTTGCCCTGTGCATTTCTTCATCTGTGTCTTTTGTGATACTCTTTATAACAAGCCATTGAATATAAATGTTTCTCCACATTATGTGAATATCTTGAATTCAAAAGGAGGAATGTGGGAGTCCTAACTTAAATCTGGTTGTTTAGAAGCACGGGTTAAAAATTCTGGTGTTGGGACTAGCATCTAAAGCAGGGACAGCCTTGGGGGATTGACCTGATGTTACCTCGAGGTAGATGATGGAGGTCCTGCATTGAATTACAAGATGCCCAGTTGTGGTGGTGTCTACCCTGGAACTGCTGCTTGCCTCCTAGTGGGAGACACAACACTACCTTTCAAGGTCACAGAAGCACTACATGTTTAGATTGTGTTGAAAATGCCGAGATTTATTCAGCATCCTCAGTGGTCTAACCATTATACATCAAAAGACTTACTACTAAGCCATCCCATTAGGAGGATCATGCCGTCATATAGATTCTGTGGCTTTTGTCTCAAGTTTGCAAAACAATCACATTGCATCCTGTACAGGAAACCCCACAGACAAGCCTAATTTGCTTTTGTTTCTTCCTCGAAGAGCACCAAAGTAAAGCTGCTTTAAAAAATAGTTGGATTTTGGAAGAAGTCATTCATTTTGGAGGGAATACATATTTAAAAATCACAGTAATCACATTCTTCTTTGAGTCATTTTTTTTTTTTATTTTAGACATAAAACAGGATGCTCATTTACCTTGACGTAAATTACACAGCTGATGCACAAGATAAGATAGAATTATACAAAAATATCAAACCTTTGACCTCAGAACAGTGTACAGGATACGCCATAGATGGCACATTCAAAATGCTCTTTCACACACTCAGCTAATTCTAATTATACGTCCTAAATGACTGTCACCTTGAAGCAAATTCCACAAATTTCTATGAAAAAAAAAAAAAAAAGATGTGCTTCTTTGTTCTTGAGTGTCGACAAAGCATTTCCACCTAATCGTTTTCTAATAAGGCTCTGCACGTATTCTTAAGTAATCCCTTTGATGAGTTCAGTTCGAGGTAAGTTAGCAAAATGAGCAAACCTCACACGGCGAGTTAGGCAGCGGGAAAGGTGCGCCAGAAGTGTGTGCCCCGCCGGAACAGCAGTTACTAAGTGCCATGCGCTTCTTTTTAATAAAATGGGTACATAGTACACGCCATGTATTAACGGTCTTAACTGCTTCACAGTAGCACAACACAGCACACCATACACAGGCCAGTGCTTCCTAACCCTGCGGCCAGGGCCGCTGCTTCCTGAGGGAGGGCAGCAGGTGCCTGGGACCGAAATGCTAAAAGCCAGGATCTCCTGCGTGACGCAGTTCCAGAATGAAGAATCTCCAAACTGGTGTTTCAGACAATGGTTTTCACATAAGTCTGAGGGGTGTTAACCCCAGAAGGTCAGCCTGGGGTTAATGTATAAGAAGGAGTGTACTTTTGCTCTCACAGTGACAAGTATATTTGTGAGTATTGTGGAGTAGAATATGTGAAATCTCAGAAAGCTTTGGCCATCTTCATGGATGGGTAGTGTCCTCATCTACCCCCATTTCTTTTGTTCTTTTCAAAGTCTAAGTTGTCTCATGACACAATCAGCCTGTTGTGGCGTCCTTCCCTGTGGCTGCTCTATGGAGAAAAGGAGAAACAATATTGGCTTTCCATCTCTCACTCTCTGGCTCTGAAAATATAGGCATAGGGACAGATGACAGTACTGGGGATTGTTTATGAACCCAGCGGGGTTTCATTCTGATTTTGTTTGGAAAATTTCTCTTAAGATTTTTATCCTCAGTTTGTAGGTATAAATCCAACAAGTGAAAGGTCAGCTATTCAGCCTCAAACGGTGGCAGAAGAGTCTCTAAACTTTACTCCTTTCTTTAAGTGTGTACCTTGAAGCACACAAACGCCAAACACGGTCACCGTGCTGAGTGTCTTTGGCCCCAGCTTTATAGCCACGGTTCCGCTACTGAGATAAATAAGAGATTTCCGAGTCTTTGTTCACACAATATAACATGACACTAGCCAAGTCCCGACAAGGGGCACATGGCATGGGACATCCTTGCTGAGGAAGCCCAGATGAAAACATCTGTGGGCTGAGGAGGAAAAGGAATGCTGAGGACGGCTGCAGACTCTTTCTCCTGGTGTCCACCTTCTACCGTTTCAATCCTGAGGTCTGTGGGAGGAGAAAAAACAAGGATGGAATGTAGCAAGTCTCCGACTTATTACATCCTGGGAGAAAGTTCTGCAGCACGCAAGCAACAATCTAAACGAACAGAGCTGCTTTCAGAGCCAACAGTGATAAGTGAGACTCAGCCTTGCACATCTTTGCTGTAGGAAACTTTCACTGGGAAGTGCTCCTTAAGTGTCACTGGGGTGGCGAGCAAAGCCGTGGCTGTAGGAAGAGTAGAGGCTCTGGATTTAAGCTGAGGCCGTTTGTCATTTCATAGGTCAGGAGCTGTGTACTCCCCAGGACAGATGTTTTACGAAGGTTAGGGTTGGGACTTGCCTGACCCCACATGCTACTCTGCATTCTACTCAAAGCTGGTGGTTAAATCTTTTGCCCCAATTTCTAAATTTGAGGTAAATTTTTGATATGAAAATGGAAGACACAGATTAGCTCACGAGATTATAATGTTTTAGTTTAACGCCATTGCTTTTTCTTTTTTTTTTTTTTTTTTGGTGTTTTTAAAAAATTTATGTGTTTATTCTTTTTAGTGGTATTGTACAACCACTACTTCCATTTGAGAAATGGTGGCATGATCATACCCTTTCCCCGTTTCCCCTTATGTGGTGGTGCTAGAACTCAAGCCCAAGGCCTTGCATGAGTTCACTGTGCACTCAACCACTGAGCCACATCCAGCCTTGCATGTGGCCTTTTGTAACAGTACAGAGTTAATGGGCAGTGCTGATTTCTGGATTCTGGATAGAGGGAGCTTGGGGGTCACTGTCCAGTTGGAAGTGAGCGCCCAGGGTACTCACTTTGAAGTTGTGTCTGCATTTAAAGTCTTTTTATATGCAATCAATTTGCTTACTGCATTTTTAAAGCAGCATCAGCTTGAAGAAAACCTTTTGTTCAGTTTTTGGAACTTTTCCTTGGGTGAGGATGGGGATTGTAAAATACTTAAGGACAGTTGCTAAAGTCCTAATACCTCCAGTTTCTCTCATAGAGCCATGGAAAACAGTGGCCCGTACCGTTGTAAACTTACAAGGAAGGATGCTGCACCTTATAAGTACATCTTACCAAATGATACCATGCCAACCCTTTGAAGTATCATTAAGTAAACTGGGTTGGAAAACCTGAATGAATGATCCGTTCACTGAAGTTGGCATTCACAGCAAAAGCAGCATATCTTTTATTAACAGGCTACCAAAGTATCTTCCTGAAACCTTCACTTGGGAAGACTGATGGAGAGAAAGATGCTTGGGAGGTTTGGGAAATAAATGAAGCCTGCACAAAACACCATTTTGAACAACCTATTTTCCAGAAGCCACTTTATTTGGATGATAACGTTCACCTGGTACATGAGCCTGGGCCTGGGACATGAGACTGGCTCTGGGCCTGGGTAGTCTCTAGTTTGCTCCATTGTTCAGAACAGAATAGAAAGTTCATATGGAATTGATGGCGATCCCAACAAAGAAGTTACTATAGAAAACAGGTTCCATGGCAACCAATGGCTATCGGTCAGTGTGTTAGCTATGGCCCTACTAAGAGTAAAATCAGGGCTTTCCATACAGCCTCTACCGCAACGCAGTCCTACTGTTTCACAAACATTTTTTTTTTCTTTTTGTACAAATATTTCTGCTTTCTAATTGAGTCTAGACCTTGGTTTATAAAAGAAAAAGTAGATGACTTTTTATGATATTATATGCATGATATATATATAAAATCTGGCAGTGTAAGTATCAAATTTTATAAAACTATCTTTCTAGAAGCTCTTTTCAAGTATAGTTATGACAAAAAAATATTTAGGGTCTAAGTTGCCCATGATCCTAATGCTCAGAGAAAAACACTTTAACAAATTGCATCATCAAAATTTAATCACAAAAGTCGGAAATATTTGTCAGAGAAGATCTTCCCTCATGTCACTTTCAGGCCTGAGAGTTCCTTGAGAAAGTGGGACAGTTTCCTTGTGTGTCCTGAGTAGCTCCGGTTCTCGGTGAGAGACACCCTCTGTATTTTCTTGCTTTCCCTTCATTCTTTCTGCAAGTTCATATGACTTTGTTCATATTAAAGGATGGTTAATTAGCAATTAAAGGTAAAGAGTAAGTAATATGGAGCAGTCTACCTTCTGGGATGGATACGAGCAGTAACTTGAAGTTTGATTAGAGCATGTGTTAGGTGTGCATAGACTCTGAACATTGGCCTGCATCTCTATCCATCCATTTTTCTATGATGTAGTATGTAGTTTATGCCAGTTGTGGGCTATAGTGTCCCAAACTACCTAGTAAGACCTGACACACATTTCTAGGAGTTCTGCAAGACAAATTGGGTCAAGTTAGTCATGAAAGTGGCTATGGAAACAATGCAGCCACATAAGTTTGATACTGGGGCATTTTTCCTCTTGAAGAACAAGTTGTTGAGTAATTTATTTGTGTTCCATGGCATGTTTACTCAGGAAAGACAATGCATGCACAGTTCAGTTCATAGTGGAAGCAATAGTGATTTAAAAAACAATCAAAGTTACAGAATATTTGGTGATTTTAGTTAAAGCTATAAGTTCATAAATAGTCTTAAACATCACCCAATCTTCTTATTGTCTTAAAATAACATCATAGAGTTAAGTACATTTCTTAATTATTTATATGTTCTAGAATAATTCCATAAAGCTAATTTTGGACATCTGTTATCATGTTTAAAACCAAAGCCTCTGTATTTATATTTTTACTTTATGAAATAACAACTAAACTTAAATATTAATGAAAGTGAATACTGTATAAAAAGCAAAGGAAAGAAACTTTCATCACTGGTGTGGCTTTTGTGTGCTTCTTCTTCTTCTTCTTTTTTTTTTTTTTTGCTTTTTCTTTTTGTAAATTCCGTCTTTGCATATTCTTGTTCCGTGTTTAAATGGTATCTGTATGTGTGTGCACATAATTATACATATGCAGACTCAGTTACAATAATAGAGAAATGAGTTGTCTGGTTCTTTAAATAGTTACTACTAGCCAGGAATATCTTATGTTAGAAACCGGTAGGCAAGTGGTTTTGGCACCATTTTATCTGTCCAAACGGTTCTTTCCCTTTTTTCTTAAAAGTTGAAAATGTCCTCATTTCTGCTTCTCTCCTTTGGCTTAACAACACATTTAGTTTAAATATGCCCACCTAGGGCTCAGTGTACAAAGTTCAATGCCTTGCAGTCCCAGATGTCAAACACGAATCTAAATGTATCAGTTGAATTTCATTTCCAAAGGCACGGAGCTAGGAGCAGGGAGGCTGGGTACGTGTGTGCTGGAGTTGGACACCATGGTAACAAAGCAAGAAACATCTGAGTTCTGCTGGGGAAAAAAGAGCAGGAGGAAAGTATGACTTCTGACTCTGGCAAGAGGCAGTGAGCATGGAAAACACACCTTCTTTCTTCGAATTTTCTGTCAACACTTCCTCCAGCCAGGGATGACAGTGGCATCCTCGTGTCCATCTGTTAGGCCTTAGGATCTTACAGGTAAGGCTAGAGAGCTAAGAGGTAGGCTGTATCGGAGCCCTAAGATAATTCCTCAAAAATACCATTTTAAAAATCAAACCCACAGCATTTAATTTCTCTGTTGGCTTGCTGTGCTTTGAGGAGAGTAGAGGCCAGCTCTTTCTGCATATTGACAGGTTTCGGACTCATGGTGGTCAGTCAGGCGGTGAAGCAGCTTTGGGGCAGGATGGTCAGCAAGTTTTACAGCAGTAGTTCGCACATGGAGATACTGTACATTCATTCAATGTTATTTGTCTTAGAAATGGAGCAATCTGGGAGCTTACATTACAGCAGAGTCCGAGGAGCTTGGGAATTACTTCAGAAACACAGATGTGCATGCAAATGAGTTGTGTCTTTCTGTTAGTTTAAGCTTTCAAGGCATACATTTTTTAAAATTACCTGGGTTTCTATTTAAATGCCAACTCAGGAGACTGCATTTTCAATACTAACATAAAATGTGTTTGGAAAATTAAGAATTAAAAAAAAATAAACAGTCATATTTTGGGGTTTTAAATAGACCCTATACCAAAGGGTTAAGAAGCCTCCTACTTAATATAACATCTTGGAAGCATTAGCACTAAACAGCCGCTCAGCAAAGGTGACTTCAGCCTTTTTGGGTCATCTATCTGTCCTCTCAGTTTCATTAAGAAACCCTCTGGACATCACACACACATGGCTCTTCATGACTAGGAACTGCTATGCTACACAAACTGCTTTAAGTGTTATTTTTTTCTTTATAAAAGAGTTTTGTGTTTTAGAGCTCAGTATAAATTAAACACTTTTACTTTTTGTAAAAGTTTAAATTAATAGATTCAGTGCATGTTTTTTAAATAAGGTCTCTGTCTTGACCGTTTATCTTACATAGAATTTAAGCTCAATTGTACTATTTTCCAATCACATTGGAAAACATCCTCTCCAACTAAAGAACCCAAGATGTTACTGAATGTCATCTCTATGATTTAATTTCATTTTCTGTCCATATTGTACACGGGCTCTGCTAAGCAAAGTTTTTCTCATTTGGATTGGGGGATCTTTTTCACTCCAGTCCTTCGTTGGCATTTACAAAAGCTGAGTGTCACTCTGAAGGTGTGGCCAAGGGGAAAAGCTTCATTTATATTGTGCTGAGAGTAGCTGTTTCAGTGACCCCAAAGCTCTTCTTGTACATCCCTTAAAATATGCTGCATGGCAAGGCTGCATCCCCAGGGGTGAGTGATCAGAGAGGAGTCCACTGAGTTCATGATAGAGGCAGCTCCTGATCCCCTCACTCAGAGATCCACATGGAGACTGAGCTGCCCATTGGCCACATCTGAGCAGGGGGTCTAGGTCCTATCCATGCATGGTCAGGGGATGAGGGGAAGAAAGAGGGAGTGTGGGACTGGGGGAGGGGGCTTCAATCAGGATATATAATGAGTAAATTGTGAAGAAAAAAATAAAAATTAAAAAAATACTCTGTATGGCATTTAAACACATAAACACACTTATGTCGATGATTCTTCTTTAAAACATTGTGTCATCTCACTTACTCAACAAAAATGAGTAAGTATTAAAAATATTTCTCATCACTTTCTAATACTACATCTTTGGGTCCACTTTTTGGATCACACTTGATTGTCACTTTCCCAGTGAGTAAATCCCAGATGGATGACAGATTACATAGAGTTATGTGATCATGTCTTTGGTTAATTTTCTGAATTTCTTCTCACATGATTGAGGCAAACCTGAGGATAGGTCATTGAATAATTGTTTCTGTTTTTTTTTTTCTCTTGTAAAATATTTCATTTCTCCATTTTCTTTTTTAGTGGCCTTTTGAAGAATCCAATCTGTTGAGAAAATACAAAATACAACACAATCGATTATTTTAATTCAGGCAATAGAACTAATCTGTTTGGAGATAATCCAATTTAATCATGATTTGGAAAATCTGGGCATATAATTAATGCAGGTAACAGATGTATATTTTTACTGATCATTGACTACTGGCTGTTAAGAGTTTGACATCTGTCAAACTGCGACTTCGCCTTATTTCTCTGCACTAGTTAAGTATATATCCTAGTAACGTGTATGTGTGGGACAAACAGAATTCTGGGAAGTGCTTTGTGAGACAAATGAACCATAGTTAATCAACACTGTTTTTACTTTGTCATCATCATCATCATCATTTTTTTTAAGTGGCAGAAAAAAAAATCCATCAAATAACCACTGGTCACAAATTAAGATCCTTAGAGTTCAGAGTGAGCTTGGTGGATGACCATGGGTAGGCGTCAGGAAAATGTCTGAATTTTCTAGATGACTCTAAAGCTTCCCAGGAGAAGCTTCTCAAAAGACCCCATGCTATTTACCTATGAAAACAGAGTAGTGCGCTGACAGTAAGAAAAAAAAAATCATGTACTGGTTAATGTAATTTGCATTTCATTATTCTTTGTCATATTCTTTGTCAGCAAAATTAATCAGCCTTATATTTACTTCATGTTATACCGTAAACAAGACCAATGGGCACTAGATAAGCCTTTGGAAGTGAGCTAACCCTATTTTAAAATTTATTGAACAAATTAAATCTCATTTAAATAATTTAATCTCCTTTAAACCTAACACTTAAAAAAAAAGGCGTAGTTCCTTATGAGCTGTCTATTTTGCATTTGGGGACAGTGGTTTTCATTGGCCCTATTAGACATCGCCAGAGAGCCCTTGGGGGAGGGTAGAAAGCGGGGCGCATCTGGCTCCACCTCCAGTGCCGGGACTATAGTCACCTTGTAACTACATGCCAACATGCAAAGCTTTTCTTCGAGATTGATTTTAATTACATATAATTGTGTGTCGCTCTGTGTGTGGGAATGTGCACGTGAGAGCTGGTGCCCTCCGAAGTTACAAGGGTCAGAACCCCTGGATCTGCCGTTACAGGTAGACATGAGCCGTGATGGGGGGTGCTGGAAACTGAGCTGGGGTCCCTTACGGGAGCAGTCCATGCTCTTAACTGTCCAGCCTTCACAACCACATCACCCTGTTTCTTTTCTTCATGTGGGCTGGATCTTGGGTTCATGCTTGTAAACCAAGCGCCTTCCTAACTGAGCTGTCTCCCCAGCCTGGGGCTACACACTTCATGAATGATGACTGACCACTCAAGGGCTTAGGCAGGGCAGATAAATAAAAAAATAAGCATCTCAATAAGTTAGGAAGTTGCCATCAGGGCTGTTGTCTGCCCGAATCTAGTCGGTAGAAAACGAGGAAGGGATAAGAGAACGAGTGAATGTGAAAACTGCCGTGAGTTTGTGCTTTCCTGAACGCCAATCATTTCCTTCATGGCTGCCACAGGAGCTCCATATTTGGATTCCACTCAGCCCTTCTGTGCCCATATGCCCCGCAGTAGCAGTAAGTCAGAGAGGGCTCCCCAGAGTGGGACTCTTTCTCTCAAGACCAGCTCCTTTCCCTGCCTCCCTCGTTTTTTAAATGTTTCTAAGAGTCCACCTTTGAGATGGGACTTCTGTGATCTCAACTTCTCCACTCAACAAATTCTCCAAACATTGATTTTATCAAGGGAAGCTGAGTACTTAGCCTAGAGATTAGCAGAATATAATTTGCAGTTCCTGCGTACACAAACCGAGACAATCTTAGCCAAAGTTTGAAAAACAAAAAGTTTGCTTTTTGTTTGTTTGTTTTGTTTTTTGAGACAGGGTCTCTCTTTGTAGTCTTGGCTGTCCTGGACTTGGCTTTGTAGACCAGGCTGGCCTCGAACTCAAGGATACCCACCTCTGCCTCTGCCTCCCTGAGTGCTTGGATTACAGGACTGTGCCACAGCACCCAGCTAACAAAAAGTAAGTTTGTGACCCCCAGGCTTTCTCTGGAGTTTTGTTTTTCTGTTTTGATTTCTGTATTATAAATTCTCCTCTTTAGAATTAACCTAGTTCAAAACCCTGTGGCAAGAAGTAGGCCATCAATACATAAAGTAAGGTGATTGTTAAATAAATAAATGAATAGCAATAAATAAAAGATTAAAAAGTAATCCAGTGCTATACCTCCTTATTCATGTTACCCTCCTTATCCATCTCCTGGGTGCCCGAAACATGGCCATGGAGTCTCAGGCGCACAGTTTTTGTTTTGTTTTACCGTATTTGTACATTTTTGATGATAAAAGTGATATGAATTAGCCACAGCAAGAAATTATCACCAATGGCAAATAGTCATTGTAACATTGTGTTATGATGAAAGCTAAGCAAGTGCCTTTTCAGTAAATTTCTCAAGGTGTCTTATTATACTGGATTATATTCTGAAGTACAGTCGACTAGATCCTGCAACTATCCAGAGAGAAACTCCGGCTGGAGGGTCTACCATGTCCCCTTTCAGTGAATGACAGTGGGTGCGGAACAGAGCTGCAAGAGCAATGACCATCAGTGCTGGGACTTTGCCGTCAGCATGAATCAAATCAGCAAAGGCATGCTCTCCTTTCCCACTTCGGACTGCGGCTCTCTGCTTTATATGTTACTCTGAACTGAACCGGAGAACTTTATTCTAAAACCAAGCATTTTACATGTCTCAAGGAATTCATGGCCTTCGGCCCCGTTCTGTGCTGCAGCGGAATCTATTGAAAAACACAGAGGCTTTAGAGACAAATGGTTGGTAGAATGTAGTTGTTTAGTAGTTGATAATCTTAGGGGAGTTGCTGAGGGGGGTGAGGGGAACTTTACCTTTGTTTTAATGTTTACAGGTGTAAAATGCTTGGTTGTATTAACACAGAGAATTCAATCAGTAAGTAAGTATTCAAAATCTTATTCAGAACATTGCTGGCTCCATGGCCCCGAAAACATGTGAAAACTTGTCTGCTCATTCATTTCCTCTTCTACAAACCAAGGTTCTTAGCAGGGAGGACACTTTAAGGCAGGGTGCTTAACAGAGCTCCTGGCACACTCCCTCTGTCTACCTCAGAGTCAGAGTTCTGATTATGAAGCCTATTGTCGGGAGGTATTTGAGCTAATGAAACGAAGTTTGTTAAAGGAATTACTGGAAGTGCTTTTGTTTCCATACTTCTGTTTTCAGACCAAGGCTGTAAAAATAGGTGGAGGAAAATCCGCGTTTGTCTGTTTGCTTTAAACAGAGGTATGAAGCCAGAGAAAACCCATCCAAACATTAGCCCTGGCTATCCTCTCCTCTTTGCTAACACCATATGAACTTCCCAGCTAATTAGGACAAGCACGCTAGGAGGCACCATCAGGCACAGTAGGAATCAGAGATGCTTCTGAGAGCAGAAACCACAGCCTGTGTGCCGAGCACAACCTGTAAACCAGGCCTTGGGTACCACCGTGTGGCAGAGCCAGGTACTGGCCTCTTGCATCTTCAGAGGAAGAAAGGACAGAGAATGTGAATTGCGTCTTGGGACTTTGCTAGAGAGTAGTTTGTTTTATCTATTTATCTATTTATTTATTTATCTATTTATTTATTTATTTATTTATTCATTCATCCATTTATTTATCTATCTATCTATCTATCTATCTATTTATTTATTTATTTATTCATTCATCCATCCATTTAATTATCTATTCATTCATTCATCCATTTATTTATTTTTCATCTATCTATCTATCTATCTATCTATCTATCTATCTATCTATCTATTTATATTCTTCTGGGAGGAAATCCTCCAAAGAGGAAGTTTGTCATCACAAAAAAAGCCAGAAAGGATGGTAACAGCTGTGACATGCTAAACAAACTATTTGGTTAAATACTTCTATTGTTCATGCGTGAGAAAAATGAGCATGTAGTCACGTTTCTATCCTCCCATAATTTATTTAAAAAAGGCAGGAGGTAAATTACAGAAACATGTTAATTCCAGAAAAATTCTAATTCCATGTTTAATTGGGAAAAAAAAACATTGAATTCAGCTTTTCTATGGAATTTTGCTTTCTGGTAAATACATATAAAAGCTATCATCATAGCTTGTTTGAAAATGGTATGTTCCTACATTTTTCACCTTAAACAAACCATCTTAGTAAATGGAGAGAAAACGGATTACTACTTGGTGTTCCAAAAGGATTTGATACAGAGGATCTGTGGACTTTATGTTCTTCATTACATCCGTTAACTATCATATTGCTTGTTACTTACACATCCACAAAAGTACTGCAGAAAATGTGTCTTTTTTTCTGCTTATACACCAAAGAAGCATTTTATCTCTAAGATACATAGAGTGATATGGCTAAAACCAGGTTCATGTCAACCAGGAATCTCTAAACCTTTTATGTCCTCATTGACATAAGAGTTCAATCTTTACTTTTGCCATAAAGCAAAATTTTTGTTTTTCCTACTTTTAAAAGATTCACATACCCTTACTAACATCCTAGCTAAATGTTAAACGCTCTTCAATAACCCTCACCTCTAAAGGGGTCCCTAGGAGTTTTGTATCCCCAACTGAGGCAACCATTTTTCCTTTGCAAAATAGATATGTATAGTATTTGACGTATGAAATGTCTTAATTTTTTTTTTAAATCTGGCTTATCACAGCGTTTACATACCGTTATGTTCCAAAGCATCGATCACTCGTAACCTGCTTTGCCAGTTGTCTGTTGGTGGTTGGAATAAAGAGAACGGCCGCAGTGCTTACCTTCCACAGCGCTAAGATAAGCAGCATTAGCAGCAGCAGACCCGCGAAGGCGCTCAGGAGGATGACCCACAGTGGCACCCTGCCTGGGAGCCCGTCTTTGGATACTTGAATAGCCAGCTGAAAGTATTAAACAAGGCTGTCAACACTGATAAACACCCATTAGGGCTCCCGGAACACTGAGTTCTTGTAGGCGATATTTTTCTAACAGTGTAATTAATCTCACGACTGTATACAGAGAAAACACTGGGTTTACATTTAAAAATGCCTTTCCTTTACTAAAAACGTCCAATAATAGCAAATTTATTATCACTAAAAAGTAGAGCACTTAGGAACAGAATTTTACAACTTACATGGCAGGGCTCATCCAGATGGAATTTCTAAAGTTTCCCAGGATAAGAAGAGAGACTCGTGCTTTTGTCTAAAACAAGTCCCTTGGCTTTATTTTCTAAAATGTCGAGAGTGAAAGAATTGTATTTCTACTAAGGATTCAGTTTGAATGGCCTCATCTTTGTTTTGGATTTCCTAAAGACTAAGTGAAGGAGTTTTAAATATTATATATTTACATATAAATATATTTACATATTTGCTATTTATATATTTACTTATAAACATATAAAAATATAAATCTATATATTGACATTAAATGCCTGTATATTATGCATGTGAATATTTAAATATATATGTATATATTTAAAACTATATATAGGTATATATATTTACTTACATATAGTCATATATAAATATATATGTATAAGTATATAGGTTTAGATATATATGAGTGTATATATATTTACTTATAGGTGTAGTTTTAAATATATATTTAAATACACACACAGTATACAGGCAATTACTGTAATAGATTTTATAATGTTAGCTCTTAAGGAGGAAACTCACAAGCATCTATTTGTCACTAAAGTAAACATGGAAACATCTAGTTACTGTTACTGTTAAAAGCAATAAAGTAAAACATGGTCCATGCGTTATAAACAGCATGGCTTTCCTAGATTCTAAGGAGTAAGCAAGCCCATGCCTGAAATCACATTAGAAACAAACGAAAAGGAAACCAAACGATGTCCGACCAGAGTCAGATCAGTCGCCGCTTAAGTCCCTGTATAGAATCAGAAAACACCACGGACAGATTGGAGTGAAATGCGTATTATTTTCGTACGCGCAGCCGCACTTACCTCTCGTTTCCGGTTGCTGCTACTTAAAATCAGCGACGAGTTCTCACTCTGAAGTTCTCCCCTTATAGTGAGATTTAAGCTGGAAAAATGTGCCTGAAAAGCAGGTATGATTCATTATTAATGTGGCCGTGCTGATCAAGGTGGTAGGTGCTCCTGTCTGAGCAGAATAATCATCACATCTGCTGCATTCACCCACGCGAGACTGGGCAAGATCACCCCAGCTAAAGAGTCCAGTGTGGACTGGGAGAGGCTCCCGGCGTCCCACCTTTAGCTGAGGAACTCTTGATGGCTTCTGGGGAAGGGAAAGTCACTTTTCTTAAAAAAACAAAAACAAAAAAACACAAAAAACATATTTCTAACTAAAAATATAGTTACATCACTCTCCTTTCCTTTTCCTCCATCCAACCGTTCCCATGGACCCCCACTCCCTACCAGATCCATCACCTTCTTTATTGAGGTTACATATAAGTAAATGGAAGGCACAGTCTGCTGAGTCTATTCAGTGTTGCTAGGACTGTGGCGGCCGCTGGGCTCACCATGTCCTGGCGGATGACCTCACACCCACGCCTGTTGGCTTCGGTGGGTTAAAGGGTAAAAACAAGTACAAAGTTCTAAGACGGAGACGAGATGTTGGGGGTGGCTGTGGGAGGGATTGGAAGAGGGATTGAGGTGTAGATGTGATCGAGTTGTACCGTGCACATGTGTGGAACTTTTGAAAGAGAAAAGAGAAAAAAATGCTGAGATTGTTCTGTGAGACTAATTCAGTGGTGAATTAATCCCCTCCCTCCACCAAACTGTCCCTTAGAGCCTTCTTACCGAATGAGAATTAAAAACTTCAAAATAATTTCTACTCAGATTTTTCTCTAGAAAAACAAACTTCAAACTTGACTCATAGGCATCTAGGTGTGGGATAGCTTCATTCCAATGATGAGGACTATGCAGAGGTATTTGTTAAGGATTGGGCATGAAATTAATAATACTAAACCTCCATGACATGTTATCATCTTCATAGGACCAAACCTGAAATTCTCCGTTTGTATGATCGACTCAATATTTCTTTAAAGAAATGAAAAAGAAATACAAAATACAACAAACTGTGTTTTAAAACATTCCCCTTTCAGATAGATGTGGCTTTGTGAGGGATAAAGAATATACTTGTATAGAAGGTCTGAAAACAAATCACCACTCTACAATGTATTCAAGCTCTCTGCTTTGTTAATCATAGCATGGAATCTCACACTCTCACTCTTTGAACCTTACTTAGGTCCCAAACTGTTAAGATAAACAAAATTCAGCGCTGGAGGAGTGTTTCTCGTTTATAGTGCAAAGATTTAAGAATGAGAGAGGCCGGGAACACTTGTCGGGGAACTTAGGAGGGACTGTTGTTACTGACAGAAGCCCACACCACTCTTGAAGGAGAGCTGGTCTTAGGTCACATTCTCGGAGGCTCCCAGCCTCATGTTCCTTCCACAGCAGCGCTGTGATTTGCACACACATACTTAATAGTGAACTAACACTTATGGGTTTGTCTCAAGAACAGCCTAGAGCAATGCAGCCACTTACTTTTATGAAAGTCGGTTTCCACAAGATGAGTGAAACATTCACTTGACTCACGTCAGAAGGAACGAGATTACATGTGAGGGTGGCAAATTTGCAGGTACTGCAATCCTGTTGGATTGTCAGAGATACAAATTAGGGGGCATGGAATCTGATCATAGGCCCTATGTTAAAATGCTTCAGGTGGTGACCTACTTCTAGGTTGATATCAGGTGTGCTGCACTTAGGAAAGCATAAAGAAAGAACAAAGCTTAATTCACCTGGATTGTTCCTCTTTTGAGATCCTCAGACTTCGAAATTGTCCTTTTCTTCCAAGAGTTGATACCAAAAGGATCCTCCAGGCTCTGGGGTTTACAATTCACATTCTAAGAAAAGAAAATATTTTCACATTAGACACCGCCAGAGTCAACAGAACAAGGCCAGTTGGAGCAGTAACACGTGTGAATGGCAGCCATTGATCTATATTGAAGGTCTGTTTGTGGGTGTGCAGGATAGGAGAGGCTGCAAGACATCATTATGACACCCCAGGTCATAATCATTGTTTTTGTGACCCGTGCAATTACAACAGAGAAGGGTGCTAGCAGAGCTGTTTTATGAATAACACAGTTATTAATCTTATCGTTTTTCAAAGAAAAGCTGATACATTTTTTCAACATATGCTAAATTATATCTATATAACATAGATATATAAATTTATATAAATACACATAGATATAAAAGATATAGAGGTATAATTTATAATAGAATATATTATTCCATTGAGGTAAAAGAAAGCATTAGCATATGTTACCCAATTTGATGCCTGTTTGATGCCTATTTTCTTGGATTAGAGGAAAATTCCAGGTTTCTTTTTATCTTGCCCTTAGCAAAACAATTAAGTGATTATACTTCAAATACTCCTGTTGCAATGTTTTTGTTTTTAATTATGAGAATGCTTTAGTTTTTAAAAACTGTGTGAAAAGAAGGCATAATGTTAAATGTTGAACTAATACATTCACTAACAACACTTGTGGTATCTTTGTATTTTAGACACCAACAGACAATGATAATAAATAACAATAATAATAATAATCAGCACATAGTCTATTCAGTGCTACAAGTGCAATGGAGCTACAGTGTTATGACTATTTGGGGTAAGTTAATACTAATTTACTGCTTCGTGTACAGCTATATATGTTTAGAAGAAAAAAATAGGGTTTCTTTATTGGACTCCCTTGACTAAATTAAACGTGCAACAAACATGTCAAGTATTCATCAATAATTAATTACCTAGGATTTACTGGTTTGCACTATGATTCCAAAAGGGCATGCCTGAGTCCTAACACCCTGAACCTGTAAATGCAACCTTATTTGCAAACTGAGTCTTTGCGGATGTGATCAAATTAAGGCTTTCTAGGTAAGAACATCTTGCATTTCAGGAAGGCCTGAAAGCCAGTGGTGGGTGTGCAGAAAATAATGGAGGCAGAAATGAATCACAAAAGGGATGAAGCCAAGGGATGCACAGAAGTACCAGCAAACACTAGATGCTGGGAGAGAAAGCATGGCCCGGAGGGAATCTCCATTATCAGCACCTTGATGCTGGATGGCTGCCTCTCAGCAGTATTGCATTATCGTTCTTCTTTCTTTCTTTCTTTCTTTCTTTCTTTCTTTCTTTCTTTCTTTCTTTCTTTCTTTCTTTCTTTCCTTCCTTCCTTCCTTCCTTCCTTCCTTCCTTCCTTCCTTCCTTCCTTCCTTCCTTCCTTCCTTCCTTCCTTCCTTCCTTCCTTTCCCCCTCAAGACTGGGTTGCTTTGTGTAACAGAACCTTAGCTACCCTAGAATCTCTTTGTAGACCAGTCTGGCCTCGAACTCACAGAGCTCTGCCTCCCTCTGCCTCCCCAGTGCTGGGATTAAAGGTGTGCGCCTCCATGCCCAGCAGGCCCTCAGCATTATTAAATAATAAAAAATCATGTCTATCTACTCACTCTCTGCAGTTTGTTACAGGAGCCCCAGATACAAAGTGACACTTTGTATCTAAGATGGAAGTAGCTACTAATTTTTAAATGCGTCTCCATGTTTGGTGTTTTATTTTTTTTAACAAAACATTATCCCATGTCATACATAACACAAAGCTCGCACATTTCAGATGAGGAAAACAGCAGTGGGCTGGAGAGAAGGGTTATCTCTTCTGGAGAGAAGGGTAAAAAGTGATCCCTGCTAGCCTAATGACTTGAGTTCTGTCCCAGGGCCCCTGGTGAAAGGCACTCGCTGCTAAGCCTGATGCCGAGTCACCAAACTGCACGCCCACATGGTGCAAGGAGAGAACTGACCAGGACAAGCTGTCCACTGTGCACGGTGGCACATGCAAGCCACCCCTCCCCCGACACTCAGACACACAAAAGAAGTAAGTAAATGGAAAGGAAGATAACAGCAATGGCATAATTGAAAAGCATATGTGACTTACATCAGAAGATGCCCATCCAGTTGGGTACAGTACAGGATAACCATCTGAGGTCAAATTGGGGAATGAAATTGATAGCCGAAGTCCTGGCATTGGGAAATGCCCCCTTTTTCTAATCTACGGGGGGAAAATAGACATGTAATCAAGTTTGGCTTCTTTCAAAAGCATCCTCTCCATCTTACATAAGACTGGGATTCTTTTTCTTTCTTCTTTTCATGTGTTTGCGCTTGCGGTGTGTGTGCCTTTGTGCATGTATGTTCACCTGCATGTGAGCACATGCATACATAAACACACATGAATTTTTGCATGGGTGTTTATGTGGAAGCCTGAGATTGAGATCAGAAAATTTCCTCCATGGCTATTTTACCATTTCCTTTGAGGGATGGTCTCTAAACCAAACCTAGAACTGTCCAGTACTGCTAGTCTCCCTAGCTAACTTGCTCTAGGGATCTCCTGAGCCACAGTCACCCCAGAACAGACTGACAGACTGACTCTCTCTCTCCCTTTCTCTGTTTCTCCCTCTCTCCCTTCTAACCTCCCCCATTTCTGTCTTTTTTTTTTTTCTCACTATATAACCCTGGCTGGCAAGAACTCACTTTTTAGATCAGGCCTTATACTATCAGAGATTTGCATACCTCAGCCAGACCTCTGAGTACTGGGGAAACTTTGGTTCTTTTGTTGTTGTTGTTGTTGTTTGTTTGTTTTTAAGGCAGGTTTTCTATGTGGAGCCCTGGCTGTTCTGGAGCTCCCTATGTAGAACAGACTGGCCTCGAACTCAGAGATCCACCTGTCTTTGCCTCCCACATGCAGGGATTAAAGGTGTGTACCACTGCCTCCAGTGACTTTTGTTCTTAATTGATACTAAGTTATATAAAATTCTGAATCATCCACATGAAGTGGTTCATGACATCACATGGGAATTGGTTTAATTAAGCCAACCAGAAAGTATGAATGCTCATTGATGGCTATCTGCAGTTGCTACTATTGTATTGTTTTCTTCATCTTTCACTCCAGGATAATACTAGGATTAATAACACTATGTGTATGGATAATACTAGGGTTAATTGCAGTCAGATTGGATACATTAACAATAAACTAAGTCACCAACACTGTGTTGAAATTGCACTAAGGAAGGAAATCAGAGCACTTCTCCTTGTTCATCTAACCATGAAGGCCCAGATTTGAAATCTCCACTTTACTCTCCCCGTGTCATCCATCGTTCCTGTCTGTCTGCTATTTTAGTTTGAATCGGTCTAGTCTGCTCCGTGTCTCTATCCACATAGATCTGCCCCTAACAAATGGCTCTGTTCTCTCTTTTATTGAACATTGTTGGCAGAAAACATCATGTCAGGAAGAAACGAAGGAGACTTTACTGAAATCTTTAACAGAGTTTTACAAGTCACTATCTCCAACTGATCCCAAATGACCCAGACAATAAACAAACGACATATACCACCATGCAACATCTGAATGCTGCTTTTGGAACTTATGGTGGAGACTCATTTTATAAGCCACTTCCTGTCTATTTGCTGCTTCCAGCAAATGATTACCACAAAACATAAACAAAGCAGACATTGCTCTGAGTCAGGGGCATGAAGGGATAACTAGCTGAACATTATAGCTATACATCGGTTAGGCTGTGTATGTGGGAGACCTAAGGCAGGTTAGGTTGGTGATTACATTGCTCTCTTACAGGCAGGTTAACAAACAGGCTGAGTACACAGTAGAACAGCATTCTTAAGTGTTAAGTGACCTCACAGTGTGTTAACAACCCAGGCCGAGGAGGCCAGCGGAAATACTAGTGGAAAATCAGTATTGAAAATTCTCATGATTATTATTCTCTAGCCAGGTACACCGTGTGTGTGTGTGTGTGTGTGTGTTTGTGTGTGTGTGTGTGTGTGTGTGTGTGTGTTTGTGATGCACACAGATGTATGCGTGTACTTAGAACTCTTAATCTTCACCAACAGATGCCAGGACTGCCTAGCTAATAAAGCCTCCTATATTGAGAGCTATTCAGGTCTGTAATGATTCCCGGTGGTGCTGAAGGCTAAGTCATTCAGCAGCTTTGGAACTGTGGAGATTCCTGAAGCCACGTCTGGCCTCTTACGTGAAAACAGTCCGCAACCATATTAGGGTAATATGTCCAGGGCTTGCCTGGCACAGCCTTTCGGTTGAACGCTATCTGCTTCTGACAGTCAGCAATCATATATTCTGCTAGTATCACTTTAAAACAACAAATAAGAAGCCTCCTTCTAAAAACTGGAAAAGACTGAGCATAAGGCAGAAAACAAAAGTTTCTCGCAATCTAAACACCTTAGTAGTGCTTTACTGCATAAACTACTTGTCATTATTCTTTGCACATAGTAAATCATAAATTTTATATCTCACATACCGACAACTAAAATTTTCATGTTCCTTAAATCTATTATGCTATGTTTCCAAAAAGCGTCATGGTTAACGGAGAATATGGCCACTGTTATAGTAGCTAAATGTCAAGCACAGAATTTATCTATCGACACTTAAGAGCCGTGCGAAACTCGCTGTACTAATCATCCGATTTGCAGTATTGCTTTGGCTTTTAACTCTAGGTTTTAGATTCCCTTACCTCTGTTTTATCCACGAGCAGCAGAGTGAAAACAATAGAAAACCTTACAAGCTTGGGAAACTGATAAGTAGCAAATGTAGCTAAATATGATAACATGTTTTCTTCCCACTGAACAGATAACATTGTCCTCACTGAACAAATGCTAATTTGTTTAAGTAATTTCGGTGTTAAAAGTTCAAAGCTTAAGCTTTTTATAAGAGTGTTGCTGAAGTTTTTCATTCATTAATAATTTCTTAGGGAAGATTACCAATAGCAAGTCACTAAATATGTTCTTTTATTTGTACCCCATTAGTTTAATTCTAGAACTTAACAGCAAAAAAAAAGCAGAGATATCCAACATTATAATCTATGTTAATGTTATTGATAAGAGGGGGCTCTTATCTCAAACCTGGAACCTAGTAATTTACAATGTATGGAAATCTACAGTAATCAAGTTTTTTTTTTCACTTTTCTTTCCTATTTGTTTATTATGCTACAGAAGCCAAGGAGTCTGATCTACAAAATCACATCCCAGAAGTGACCAGGGAGGTTGCATTCATGCCAATTCCAGAATGTAACTTATCACAGTAATTTTAGAAAAGAACAGACATTCCTCTCAAAAGCATGCATTTTTTTCCATTTTGCAAGAGAACTTCATTCTTCACTGTTGGCAGTTCCCCAAAAGATTAATACTGGCTTTGTTTATAATGGTATTATATCACTTGATGGCATATATATATATATATATATATATATATATATATATATATATATTTGAATTGAATGCTCTTTTCTCCTTGAATACTGCTGAGTCTTCATGTTACACAGGCTGAAGTTCCACAACAGGCCTGTTATAGAGCTTAGGTAGTTTCCAGCAAAAATTTAAAATTAAAAAAAAAATGTAGTAGAAAATATTACTTAAGGAGATTGTAGTGCTAACCGTAATAATTCATAGTATAATTCATATCAAAGAGAGAAATCCACAGAAAACAAATAGTGACTTGTTAAATAAAGGAAAATATTCCCCAAGGAATTTTGCCAGAATTCATTTCTGATATTGTCATGATTCTGTGAAACATGATTTTCTTAGTCATAGTGAAAAGAATATGGAGTATATATACACCTTACTAGTATCTGTTTGACACTAGAATGACTTTTTTTCTAAGAAGTTATTCTAAGTAAGTATTTCTTACTATAAGGAAATTAGAGGCTTTGGCTTTTAAAATTGACTCAAGGTATGATTACCAGTTTGCACTTAATCTTAGCCAAAAGGCCAAAAATTGATATAATTATCAGTTTGAACAAAATATTCTAACATAGTTAATTTACTGAGAAAAAAAATATGCTAAGATATGGAGAGTGAATGTTGAAACACTTTCCTGTTTTCTTAATACAAATAACTTACTTAGAATATTTATTGACTTGGAGATAGTTTCTTACCATATAGAAGACATTAATTTCATTTCCAATGTCATCGGTGGAATTAATAAGCTCAGGGATAGTCTCGTTGGCAGCAATTGAAATGTGGTGTTCACTTGCAGAACTTGGAAAAATAAGAAAAAAAAAGTTCGGTAAAGTTGAAGTTTTATTTGACTTCATTCTTTTCTTTCCCCACATCATATGATTTCATAAAAAATGATTGCAGAGTTCAAAGCAGAGGTTGATACTTTTACCCCCAAACATCAATTAAATATTTGAGGATGGTAAGAATCACTTAGTTCAATAGTCGTTGCTTATTTGACTCCAATAGTTTAAGTTATATGAGACTTTCAAAATGTAATTTCATTGTTATCAAATGAAGAGTACTCATAAACTAGCATTTACACTTAGAGAAAAACCAGGCTGAAATTTGTTGTGTTTAGCAGGGTGAAAGGGGGAAAAAACACTAGTTTTTTTAAAAAAACATTTACACAATTTAAAAATCCCGTTACTGCTAGACGTAAAAGCTCAATCACCCTTCAAAGGTCATGGTCTTTGGAATGACCCTGGAACTTAAGATCACCTCTCAAAGCAACACTTCAGCCAAGATAGTTATAAATGTGTGCCAAAAATTGATCTGAACTAAGCGGAAAATTGTTGGGAAAAATCTTTGTGCTGACAGAAGCGGATACAGCAAGTCAGACAACAGACAACAGACTTCAAAGGCTCAGAAATACAAGCAAGTCTATGTGGCTAGCCTATGACCTGTGCCTTCTGATCTCCCATTAGCAGAGAGAAAGCGCCATAAGAAACTAACAAAGTGACAGACCATTGGACTAGGCTGGCCTTGACAATGGTGCTCATCTTTTTACATGCACAGCATGTATTTATTTAGAAAAAGCGTGCAATTCTGCTTCAGCAAGAGACACTGTAGAGTGGAAGTTTACAGACATGATTGGCATGTGAATAGGAAAACAAGGTCTGAACAGAAAGGACGGTGTCTGGAGAGTGGAAGAAATTAGGGAAGGGCCAGTGTGAAATGCTTTAACCTCATTTGTGATGGAATGGGCAGGTAGATCTCATCCTGTAGGACAAAAAGAGTGACCCAGGAATACGCAGAAATATGTGGCCCTCTTGTCAGCAAGCACTGCATTGTGTCAAGGATGTTGGCTAAATTTAGGTGCTAAGACCTGTCATTAGCACATTGTAGTCTGAAGTTTAGTGCACACAGGTTCCCAAATGTTAGACATTTAATATGGATGCTGGGCACCACACCAGAATCCCTCACTTGGCAGGTCTGGAGTAGCACGGGAGTACCTGTCTCCTTAAGTTCCTGAGAGGTGATGCCCTTAGCCAGGAACCACAGCAGCAGAACCATTTGGTGATCAGAAAGCGGCCAGTGAATAAAGGTAGCTTCGGCCTACCTGTAAAACTGTAGTCCGACTTCATATTTTACTGGGATGGAAATATTTGCTTCGTTATCATACAGGGATTCCAGTGGTTCTTCACTGTCGCTGGAAAACACAGCACAGTGACACTAATCGTTAATTTGCTTACTCACAGGCCATTTCTACACATATGAAAGCAATTATATTGACAAGTTAATAAAATACAAAATCATAGACCTCTGCATTTGTTTTTATGGAGAGGATAAGGAGACTAGGGGCAGGTGTTGCTAATGTCCCCAAGCTGTTCGTTTAGAGTTGAGAATCACACCGATTTAGACCCAACCTTTGTCTGAATTGAATGAATTGATACAAATCCCCAGGCTTAATCATTAAAATGCTGAGATTGCTGGACTTCTGTGGCATAAACGTTTGGAGACAAATCATCTTAGTTTACATTTAAGACATGGGAGGCTCTTATCCAAGGATTCAGCTAGGCTCATACAGCCAATTGTGAATCCGCCATTAGCAGCCTTTCCAAACTGAGTACTTATTAGCCATTCTGATGACTGTGAGGTGGAATCTCAGGGTCCTTCTGATTTGCATTTCCTGGATGACTAGGACGTTGAACATTTCTTCATGTTTTCTCTGCCTTTCAATATTCCTCTGTTGAGAATTCTCTGTTTAGCTCTGAACCACATGTAAAAAAAAATTTAATGTCTTTTTTTATTTATTATAATTTATTCACCTTGTATCCCAGCAGTAGTCTCTTCCTTCATCCCCTCCCAAACCCACTGTCCCTCCTTTTTTTCTTCCCATGTCCTTCTTCCAGTCCACTGATAGGGAAGGAAGTCCTCCTCCCCTTGATCCTAGCCTATCAGGTCTCATCAGGACTGGCTGCATTGTTTTCCTCTGTGGCTTGATAAGGCTGCTCCCCTCTCGGGGGGTAGTGATCAAAGAACCAGCCACTGAGTTCATGTCAGAGACAGCCCCTGTTCCCATTACTAGGGAACCTACTTGGACACTGAGCAGTCATGGCCTACATCTGTGTCTGGGTTCTAGGTTATCTCCATGCGTGGTCCTTGGTTGGATCAGTCTCAGAAAAGAGCCCTTTGCCCAGATTTTTTGGTTCTGTTGCTCTCCTTGTAGAGCTCCTGTCCCCTCCAGGTCTTTCTATCTCCCCTTTCTTTCATAAGATTCCCTGCACTTTGCCCAAAGTTTGGCTATGAGTCTCAGAATCTGCTTCAATATTCTGCTGGGTAGTCTTTCAGAAGCCCTCTATGGTAGGCTCCTGTTCTATTCCCTGTTTTCTCCCTCCTCTGATGTCTGTCTCGTTTGCCTTTTTGAATGAGGATTGAATATCTTACCCAGAGAAACAACACACTTCACAATAGCCCCAAATAACATAAAGTACCTTGGTGTAACTCTAACTAAGCAAGTGAAAGACTATATGGGAAAAAAACTTCAAGTCTCTGAAGAAAGAAATTGAAGAAGTCAGAAGATGGAAAGATCTCCCAAGTACATGGATTAGTAGGATTAGCATAGTGAAAATGGACATCCTACCAAAAGCAATCCACAGATTCATTGCGATTCCCATCAAAATACCAACACATTTTTTTTTTACAGATATTGAAAAAAAATTCTCAATTTCATATGGGAAAAAAACCCCGAATAGCTAAATCCTGTCTAATAAAAGATCTTCTGGAGGTATCTCCATCCCTGATCTCAAGTTGCACTATAGAGCAACAGTGATAAAAACATCATGGTACTGGCACAGAAACACACTGATGGATCGAAGACCCAGAAATAAACCCATAGACCAATGGACACCTGATTTTTGACAAAAAAGCCAAAACAATACAATGGGAAAAAAGATAGCATCTTCAACAAATGGTGCTGGTCTAACTGGTTTTCTACATGTAGAAAAATGCAAATAGATCTATATTTATCACCCTGCACAAAATTAAAGTCTAAGTGGATCAAAGACCTCAACATAAAACCAGATGTACTACACCTGTTAGAAGAAAAAGTGGGGAAGAGCCTTGAACTCTTTGGTACAGGAGACAACTTCCTGAACAGAACACTAACAGCACAGGCTCTAAGACAAACAATCAATAATTGGGACCTCATGAAATGGAAAAGCTTACATAAAGCAAAGGACACTGTCATCAGAACAAAATAACAGCCTACAGACTGAGAAAGGATCTTCACCAACCTTATATCTGACATAGGGATAATGTCCAGAATATGCACCCCATTTTTTAATCAGACATGAAGAAGACAAAGAACAGGACAGGAACCTTCCACAGAGGACTTTTGAAAGACTACCTTCCCTGGCATCAAAGGAGATACAGAGACTCATAGTCAAACTTTGGGCAGAGTTCAGGAAGCCTTGCAGAAGAAAAGGAAGATAGAAAGACCTGGAGGAGACAAGAACTCCACAAGGAGACCAACAAAAAACCAAAACAAAACAAAAATGCTTGGGCCCAAGGGGTCTCTCAGAAACCTATATTCCAACCAAGGATTATACATGGAAAGGACCTAAATCCCTTTTTCAGGGGAAGCCCATATGCTGCTCAGTTTCCAAGAGGTTTCCTAGTAAGGGAATCAGTGGCTGTCTCTGACATGAACTCAGTGGTTGGCTCTTTGATCACCTCCCCCTGAGTGGGAGGGGCAGCCTTGACCAGGCCACAGGTGAAGACAGTGGTAGCCAGTCTTGATGAGACCTGATAGGCTAGGGTCAGATGGAAAGGGAGGAGGACCTCCCCTATCAGTGGACTAGGGGAGGGGCATAGGGGGAGAAGAGGGGAGGTGGGTGGGACTAGGAAAAGAGGAGGGAGGGGACTACAGCGGGGATACAAAGTGAATAAAAATAAATAAATAAAATATTAATGTAAAAAAAGAAAAAGTTAAACCGGAAGCCAAAATATATACACAAAGGATGTGGTGTAGTCCCGTGCAGGCCCTGTGCATGCTGCCTCAGCCTCTGTGAGTTCCTACGAGCTTTGCTCATGTTGACTTTGGAGCATCAGTTTTTTTTAATTAATTAATTTATTCATTCACTTTACATTCCAATCATAACCCCCTCCTCCCCTTTTGGTTCCACCCTCTCTCCCTATTGGCCTACCCATACACCCTAGCTCATCAGTCAGAGCCTGGTTTCCTCACATGTGTTCTCTGATAATGCTGAGAAACTTTGAATGATTTGTGTAAATTCTATTGAAGTATATAAGAGTACTATAAAATTTTAAGTCCCTACATCGATTCAATTGACCTTGATAGAGAGCTAGGAAATGTTTTAAAATTATCAGATTCTGTCCATTGTGAATGAAACTTGGCAGATGTAAATCATGTGTAATTAAAAGATAGTCTACAGTTAATATTACCAGTGATGTTTAACTGTTTTGAGTAAAGAGGTTCATGGACTTCAGGTTAACTCCTGCTGATTGTATGAAATAATCAAATTACATGAAAGACATGACATACACACAAACATATATTCATACACATGTACCAACCTTGTTGCACTTAAATGAATGATTGCATTTTCTGTGAGATGTGACGTATTAAACTGGAATATTATTTTGAAGGTAACCTATGAAAAGAAAACAGATATCTTAAGTAACAGATGAGGAAAACATCAAACCTTGACTAAAAATCATGGTTTATATAAAATCACTACCTACACAGAAACTATAAAATTACTTAGGAAACATTGTCTTACAAAGTACAGTTTCATCATAAATAAACACAGTAGGATACATACGATATACACACGCACTTTTAAAGGGGCATAGGTCATATGCTTTGCATACTACTATGGTCTGAATGCTTTATTCCATTCGAAGTTTGTGTGTTCAAGTTTAGTTACTAATGTCATGATATAAGGGGGTGGGTCCTTTGGGCAAGCAACCGGTCATGACCATCCACCCGAGTGGAATTAATGCCTTTGTGAAAGAGGTACCAGAAAGCTGCTGCCTTTCCTGCTCCTGGAGGATCCAGGGAGAAGACAGCTTTAACCAAAAAGAGTGTTTGTGTGTGTGTGTGTGTGTGTGTGTGTGTGTGTGTGTGTGTGTGTCTTGTTTTTGTTTTTGTTTGAACAGATACTGGCCCTAACATTGTGTTGATCTTGGATGTTTTTCAGCTTTCATATCTCTGAGAAACAAATTTCTCAGCCATATGTTATTCTATTTCTGTTATTTTTATAGCAGTCCTAGTACACTAAAACAAGACACATGGGAACATTGAATTTAAAGACCTTATTCAAGCCATAGTACCAAAAAGCATTTATGCAAACCACAAATCAAGAGGAACCATACTACTTATTTTATTACTACGATTTGCCAGATAAGAGTAACGAACACAATTGTGGCATGTTAATAATTAGTCTCTTTAATTCAGGAAGCTCACATGCTAGCCACCATAATAAAACATGGAAAACTTTTGATTCCTTAATTTAATAGTGTAAATTTTTTGGATCACTACAGAACAATTCAAGAAAATAATACAAAATGGCTTAGCTCTTTATAATAAAGTATTATAAATATATTGACTTTTGTTTGTTTGTAAGAACGTGCATACTTAAGATAATACTTAAGAAAAAACAGAAAGTGTTTTGCAGACATATCATATCCAGACAGCCCTTCTGAGAAGCTCTGCCTGCATACAGTAGCAGTATATGCCACCAACAGTCACACTAAACATAAATTATTTTCTTAAAACGAAGATCACTTCCATCTTCTTGCCCAATGATCTCATTATAATGCTTACAAAATCATATTTCCTAATCTCAAAACTAATTTTATTTTGTGCTAATTAAAGTATTTAAAATTTGGGCCAGAATTTTTTTTTCAGAAACACCTAATTAATGGAAACCACCTAAAATTACATGTTAATGATAAGTGTTAAACAGAAAAGTGCCATTTACAGCTTATGGAGAGTTGGCCCTGTTCACAGAGAGGGTGGTAGGGACTGTAAGGGTCATGAAATTAGCAGGGCTGTATCATAGTGCATATGGAATTTTCTTTTGTTTTCTTCCCCCCTAAATATAATCTTAATTTACATGCAAAAAGAAAAAAGCTCTTTCAGGAAAGCTGGTTTTCTCTTGAGTTGGAATACTGATCTGTACTGATATTCATTTTAGTAAAATGGCCTTTATTGGAAGGGTTTTCCCTGTCTGTCCTTCACCTCCACATCTAGCCTGGGCACGTGGGTCTTGATATTCTCCATGGCCTTTGTATCTACGGAAAGATGCTGGCAGGGAAGCAGCCTGAGGAAGCTGCTATACATAATCGTATATTCAAGTAATCTTGAAATACTCAAAGTCTAGATCTTAAACCCAAGAATGCTCTAAATGTGAAGCCCAAGTTTAAATTGCTTGCAAATTCTTTCTATCACCCTTGGTATAGCCTAAGAAATATTTTGATACAAGCTTTTATCCCATGCACAGGAAACTGCTGGATAGAGAAAGAAATATTTAAGTTCAACTGCTCCCTAAAATGGTGAAAGGCAACTTGCTGTTCAGGTGCAATGTGTAAGTTGGGCATTACATGTAACCTAAAAGATTTTTCCCCCCATGGATCAGAGACATAGGTGTAAGAGAAAATAATCATGAAATTCTTGGAAAAAAAAAAAACCTAAGAGTTTATAATAATTTACCTGACAAGAGACTTGAATGTAGACTATTTGAAGAGCTCCTACAATTTAATAGAATAAATGACATGCTAGTTTGAAAACACATAAAGGAAAGGACATGGTGGCTCACGTCAGAATCCTCGCACTCAGGAGACAGAGGCAGCAGGACTGCTGAGAGCCCATGTCATCCTAGGCTGTATCATAGTTTGGGGCTAGTCTGGGCTTCAGAGTGAGACCTTGTCTCAATCATAAAAAAGACTGTAGCAGATACTGCTCCCAAGATTATAGGTGTGTACACGCATGCGTGTGTGCGTGAGCGTGCGTGCGTGCTAGAGCACGTGCGTGTGTGTGTGTTAGAGAAAGAGAGAAAGAGAGAGAGAGAGAGATCACTAGGGAAATGCAAATCCAAGTTAGAGTAAAACATTGCTTCACAGCCACCACGATGACGATGACGACGATGATAAATTAGAGTGGTAGTAAGAAAAATATAACATGGAGAAGTTAGAGCTCTCATTCACCCCTGCCAGAAGTGTATAGTGCTGTATCTGTTGACTATAGATTTAGCCTTTGTGTTTGGATGTGACTTAGGACACTTAGCTTTTGATTGTCTTAGTCTTCTTGAGCTCAAGAATGAAATAACCAAGAACTATTAATTTATGTAATTCATAAACAATGGAGGTCTTCTTCTCATAGTTCTGGACTCTGGGAACTCCAAGATGAAAATACCGGAAGACTGGAGTGTGATGGCGTCCTGCTCTCTGGAGACAGTGTGCGTTGTACAATAGGTGTAAATAAGCCTTCTTGAGGCTATTTTGTGAAGTCACAAATCCCAAAGGCACCACTTCCTAAAGCTGTCATATTGGAGATTCAATTTCAGTGTGCTGATCTTAGAGAGACACAAAATCATACTCCAGCAGCTTTCGGGCTGCAGGCAAGCATTTTGCACTCAGTGCCTCTAGCCTATGTCATTACAAATTACCCATTACGAGGATTTACACAGTTGGCTTAGAGCACATCACTTCTCATTGGCAATAGCCCTCCTCACCGTTTCTCCTGTCTTCAGGAAAGGATATCCGACTCTACATGTGATATTTAGATTGGATTCACAACTATCTTTCTGGATCCCCTAAAATGGAAAATAAACATAATTAGAACAAGCATGCAGGTGAAATATTTCAATTTGTTGCTTTAGAGTTTTCCCAGCTATGCCTTAACAGCCACCTCTCCAAGATCCAAGATTTGTCTCAGTTTAGCTGGGACAGTCACCACGGTACCAGAGGATTGGTTGCCTGTTCTATAGCTCCTGGAGATCTGAAATCAACACTTGAGGGCGCTGGAGGGACAACGCACACCTGGAGGTCTTGCAGAGCTGTTGGCATAACAGGAACACTAAAGGCATCCGTGGACAGGATGCAGAGGTCCAGGAGTTAGTCCTGGCCTGGACAAAAACAAGACCGTAACCCGCAGCAACCAGAATTCAAGACCTGACTCCACCCAGCACATAACACAAGGGAAGAAAGAGTGGCTGTGCCCCACGGGTATTCCTGTCTCGCTGCCATGGCCAGAAAGCCAGCTGGAGAGGATACAGGCAATGTCTTTTAACATAGTTCCCTTTCCCGAGAAAGCCCAGCAACAACGACTGTTTCTCCACATTTTTTTTTTGCATCTCTACAAAAAAATTCGTTTTCATAATTAACATTCTAAAAACCAAAATGGTATAGTAACAAATGATCCTTTTATGAACCTGTTTTAGTTGCCATTTCTCCAAATGATATCAGAACAAATATATCAGAACAGAATATACATTCCTAGACCTACAGGTATTGGTTTTTAATATAAATAAAAGCATTCACATCAGCATTATTTATTTTAATGCTAATCAAAAAACTTTAAAATTATTCTTATAAATATATATATAATTTTAGCTTGGGTGCTACTTTTGGGAATCAGAATCAAAAGCCAAGTTAAAATTTGGAAATACTGACAAACGATCCAGCATCCTTTGCAGAAGAGTATTGTCAAATTAATAAAATGTCTAATACACAGATATATTACTGCCAAATTGAACCCTTTCTTTATAAAAAAAATAACATGTCTAACATAAATCTTTGGCTCACGTAAGGATTTTTTTCATAGTAAGAAAGAAACCGTATCTTGATTTTCCTCAATGGACATTTTCTTTTCAACACAGGAACTCCTCCCTGCATCCTTGTTAATGCTTTTAGCATTGATTATTATATATATTTTTCCCCTTGGCTAAATCTCAATATTTCAGCGGCTTGATTGTTCTGGGAAGCACAGAATTTTGGGTTACCAGCTATCTTTCTTAAAATACTAAGTTCAAGAAGGGACACGCCTCCTCGAAACAAAGCTTAAATTTTTTTTTTTTTTTTAAAGAATACAAAAGCTTGGTGGGGGCCAGGGCTGGCGAGGTGTCACAGTGGTAAAGAGCACTGGTTCCATTAAACTGGAGCTCACTTCCAAGCACCCACACAGTTGCCCACAATGCTCTGTAACTCTAGTTCACGCATTCAACGTTCTCTTTTGGCCTCTGTGGTGCTGGGCACCAGGTATTCATACGGTGTACAGACAGACATGGAGGCATAATACCCCTATGCATAAAATAAAAGAAGGGAAGTTTCTAACCATCTTAAAAGCTTGCAACTGTGACCGCTAGTGTATCCCAATCTTAACAAATGTTAGTGAAAATGCTTTCTACGCTTCTCAGATCAAGGTTATAAAATTAATTAGCTCAGTAGTGTGAAAAGCAGGTTCAATAAATGGTCATTAAGAAAATGAAGGAAAAAAGAAAACCCAGCATTTTTACCTCAATTCCTGAAAAAATCAGATTTGGAGAATACTGAACTATTGTCCTGGTGTTATAGGCACTGTCTCTTTTGTTTCTCACGGTGAGGCTGACATTGAACTTGTCATTCTGGGACCTGACAATCAGCAGGCTCTTTTCTGTGCTGGACACATCCAGTGTGAGGTCTGAGATGCATTTTTCCTTGTTTCCACAGTCTTTGGCAAAAGGAATCTGAAATGGGCACAGGAACATATTTTTTCATAGTACAGATGAACCTCAGTGAAAACTACCTATTAATTTGCATAACAGAAATGGCATGGTACCCAAGTAAGAGAGACAGCGCCACAGGAAAATTGATTGTACTGCTGAGGTCTTACTGCTGACTTTAGGGGAGAAAGAATAAACGTCGACTCACAGTCTTAATTTCCAAGTTCTTTAAAGGAGGTAGTTTTCATAGGTATTTTACATGAGTATCTGTTTCCCAAACCTCAAGTAAAGAACTCTGAGATCTAAATCTACACAGCTTCATTTCTATTATTTTCTAGTGAGAAGAATGGGATATTAAGGAAATCTGTCAAGAGATGGGAAAATATCCCAGCCATGTATCTGAAATTTCACTTGACTCTTCTTAAATTCCATCCTTCCTTTATCCAGCCTATCACCACACATGTCCTTCCTAGCCCTTCTCCACCCCTTCCAATCCCTTGTCACCTTCCCATCTGCTCCCTACATTAAGGCAGCCCTTGCACTGGCATCCAGCATCTGTTTTCCTTTCAGTCATTTAACATATTGGGGCAGATGTAGTCTTTAAACAGCATTCATCTGGTACCCACTAAGCTAAATTTAAACAGTCAATAGTATTACACTGACCTTTAAAGTGTCTATAACGCTGTCATGGCGCCACACCCAGAGGATCCCATTCAGTCTTTGAGTCCAGCCATACATTTCTGAGTACAGCCCTCACTACTGAGCTCTGGTTTCGGCTACATCGGGAGTATCTTAAGCTTCTTCAAGAGCTCAGCATCCTCACAGACACTATCACCCACTCATGCCGTAAACACGGTGCAAAATCACCCAGTCTTGTCAGGGCAGGACTTAAAGGTGGTGCTTTCTCTGATTCCCAGACTAGATAGAAATTCTTACAAAATCCAAAATTCTTCACAGCATGACATTTAATTACTGCTGAATGACCAACTCTGAGGTGAGACTGAGCGTCATGTTTGGTACATGTAAGATGATAGATATTTTTGGCAAGTTGCAGGATAGGTAGATGATGGATGAATGCAGAAGATGACTTCTCTGTCCCTACTGTTGGTGGTTGGTCTGGTGATATCTATTCTAAAGCTAATCTCCCCCCCTATATCCCCCAGAGGCTTTGCTGAAGGAGACATTCATGTACCCCAAATAATGCTGTAAGCTTTGCCTATTTGACCACTGACACACCTGGGCAAGGTAGATGGGGAGCTGTGGCCAAAGTTGGCAGGCTTTGAGGGACAGGAGACAATCATGGGAAGGAGAAGGAGGTAGAGGAGAAAAGAAAACGCAGAGTTGCCATGAGACAAAGAGAACACGTGGCTTGGGAGGAAGGACTCCGAGAACGGCATGGAAAGGAGCAATCTAGATGAAGGATAGGCAAATACTTGGGATTATAAACGGATGCTAGCCCAGTTAGGAATGATTAAAACAGATGGAATGGGATGGAGGCTGGGAGAAATGAGATAGAGTAGGTGGAATTATCTGCCCAACCCAAGGTAAGGCAATTGCAAAATCTATCAGGAGTCTACGTCCTTAATTGATTCTAGTGGGCTAGATAATACCGCTGTAATAATTATAGGGCAAATAATAAATGTTATTAGCCCGATACCATTTATTTACCACAACACCCTACAATTTTCCCCCATTGTGGCTGTTCTTGCGAAACCTTTTCTCTCTCTGTTCCCTCACTCACTCTCAGGGATACATCAGTGAACTATAATTTTGGGAACAGTACTAAGGTAGCACAGCTTTGTCTCTTTTGTTCTTGGGGTAATGCTCTGCCCACAGACAGCACATTTGCCTCTCTGCTCCTTCACATTGTGAGCTGTGGTAGTTTGAGTGATAATGGCTCTCACAGGCACACATATTTGAATGTCTGATCCCCAACTAGTGGACTTGTTTGTGATAGATTAGGAAGTATGGCCTTGTTGGAAGAAGATTTGTCACTGTGGGTGGGCTTTGTGGTTTCAAAACCTCTCACTGTCTCTGCCTATGTATGTGTCTGTTTTGGTCTCTGTCTCTCTGTCTCTCATTGTATCTCTGTCTCTGTCTCTCTCTCTCTCTCTCTTGGCCTGCCCCCTGCAGATCAGGATGGAAAGAACTCAGCTACCACTTCAGTGTCATGCCTTTCTGTTTCCCACATGATGATCATGGAGTAGCCATCTAACACTAAACAAGCCTGCAATTAAACGTTTTCTTTTATAAGAGCTGCCCAGGTCATGATGTCTTTTCACAGTGATAGAAGAGTAACTAAGACACAAGATTTACACCATGGGCCTCTTTTATACCACAGGAAGGCCAGATATGAATCTGTACTACTGACAGGTGGTTAGCTGTGGTTTAGCTGTGAGGTTCACTATGAATGCATTCGTTATCCATGAACTATGACTTGTAACTTATGCTTACATGCTTATTAGAACGAGTGCCTTTTTCAATTGTTTGTTTACAGTTCCCTTAAACCCTAGCAAGAGGAAGTTAGGAGAAGTTTAGAGTTGTCCAATTCTGTCTCTGTCTGTCTCTCTTCTCTCTCTCTCTCTCACACACACACAATTGATTTAAATTATGTGTCTATATACTTTCAGATTTTCTAATGCATTCAGAAATTGACAATGTAAATTAATCTTACATGTTCGTGAACTGAGTTTGGCAGAGCATCGTCAAGCACAGGCCCGTTTTCTGGATCAGTGAGATTAAAATCCAAAGTCACTCTCAAAGAGTCCTGAAAGTCATGCTTATCCTACAAGTTAGAGCATAGCATTTGTCAGTGGTGTTGTACGGACTGTATGGTATGACTCCCCTGTGGCACCCTTCTGCCCTGTAACCACTGGAATATCCTCGTGAACCTAACCTGACATCACACCTCAGCAGCCTTTTGCTTCACTGAAGTGGTCTAGCTTTCCGGTTTTGACAAGGCTTCCAACTGGGGAGGGGAGGCTCTAGAGACTGATAGATAGCTCCGCAGAGGGACCTATCGGAATTCCCCTGATGTTTCTCCTGCCTGGGTATACCATCTGAGCTGTATGACAAAAACATCGTTTCTCTTGAGACCTGGTGCCAGTAATCAGTTTCCAACACTTCTGGAAAAGTGGCTCACTTTAGCCAGGGCAAACTCGTCAAATGCAGTTTTATTCCACTCATATACATCTAAATCTGTGGAACTTTGCAATGCATACTGATGTGGAAATGGTGTGTGAGCGTGAGTTTCGTTTTCTCCTGCAGTAAGGACCATTATTCACAGTGTCAAAAACAATGATCTTTATACACGTTGCCGTGAACTGTCTCGGTAACCTTTTGGGATGGGTAGCTATGATGATTTTTATACTGAGCTTCTGGGACTAATGGAGATGCTGGGATCCCATTCAGGTCCTGAACAAATGTTAAAATAGTGATCATAATCCAAAGGGGTTTTGTAAAGTTTGAAACTAGTTCATTCCTTTTAGCATCGGTCCCTGGACAGAGCTGATACACTGACCTTTTGCATATGGCTGCAGTCACTGTTGGTGGGATGGAGCCAAAACTGTCTGACACCATCAAATTTTATACACCTCCTAACTGGTCAGTTCTCAGTTCTGAATAACTCAAGAGAAGGGACACCTGCCCACACATGCACGATACACACTCAGTTTGGAGTAAGGCAGCTGTAACACATGATTTACTTGCCAACATGTAGAAGGAATGCCTGGTGCATTCTGACTCTCGAACTGTGATGTTTCTTTGGATCCTTCTTTCCTGAGTCCCAGAGAAAAAACTCCTTGATATCTGCCTCAGCGAATCAAGGGTGACACGGTACTGCAGATCTGCAAAATTGAAAGAAAATTGGACGGACATGTTTATTGGGGAATGACACTCACCTGATCCGACTCGTTTAAATGAGCATTATAGCAGAAAGCTCCAGCAAATGAATTGATTAAGGGTCCTACACTGAGAATTACCTATCTTGCTACGGTACAGAGACAGAATCATATGTGGGCATAAACCTTGAGGAAGTCGATTGAATGGCTCTCTGGCTTGCCGTGCATTTAACATGCCAACTTAGAGTATGCCCAAAACTCTATGAAATTTCACAAAATGCCACAGTAAAGAAACTCAGTGAGATCTTTTCCTTTACATGAGGGTAAAAAATATCCTTTAAGTGCTTCATTAAAAAAGAAAAACCAAAAACAACCACACCTAGTGTTGCATATGACGAAAGCCAAAGTCTTTATGGCCCTTCTCTCCATTTCGTTTACCTTCTAGTCAGAGGACCATGAGAAGTGCATTTCATCTTAAGGGTTAGTAAGCTTTCTTACTGTACTTGGGTTTTGTTTGCAGAGTAAATCACTCTTCTCTAGCCAATGGCCCTCACAGTTTGGACCCCAAGGTATTTCCACATCACTGCAGACTGCCTTAGAAAGTTCAGAACATAAAGCAGAGGGAACACGCAGGTTGACACACCCGAGAGCCCCACACGGAACAGGTCTGGCTGAAAATAGGAGCCTCGTGTCAGTGGGAAAAGAACTTTGGAATCAGGGTTGGGGACTGGGGTGAAGAAGTCGGGTCATCTGCAATACCAGCCTTTCCCAGGAGGGGGCAGGCAAAGGGAGCCGATCCTGTTTTTGAAATTTTTCATTTACAGACCATTTTTTAAATGCCACCCATGAGAGTGTATATAATCTAAACATATGGGGAGGCACAGGAAAATATGGAATTTTGAGGTCACTTTTGATTTTAATTTCGGATGCAGAATTTACTAGGTTCCATAATTGTTCCTGCTAGAGCAGAAGCGGTTGCAAGGGTCGGCCCGCTCACTGGGGAAATGTTATGAGACCTTATTATGCTTGGGAAAGGCCATCTTCCTGGGGCCAATGCGTTTCCCTCTGCCAGAAAGTACACACTACAATCATTATGCTCACCAGCCTCATAAATTGAGTCTTCTTTAGATTTTAATTTCACATGAAAACATATTGTAGCATTTATGCATACTGTTTCTTTCCCCTCCACACGGCAGTTTTTCTTTTGAATATTCACTTTGTTGGGTTCAAAGTTCATGGTCACTTTAACCACAGCCACGTCTCTGGCCCTGCAAACACATAAACAATGGGATTACCCTCGCATTGTTGTACTTACTTGCTGGGGTAATGGGAGTGCATCAAAGGACACTTTCCCTTGCGTGTTGTATGACTATTGTTTTATAATGATTACTTGTCTCAGGAAAGATTGTATCTCACATCCTCGTTGCTTCGAATCGTGTTAGACGTTTGGTTTAAAGGCTGAAAACTTAAAATGGAAGCAAGGGGCCAGGTGCATGCTCAGAGCCAGAACCGGTATTTGGGTATTTGGGAATCCCTGAGTTTCATTTCCAATTTGGACGTGGTTCAAAGGCACCTGGCAAACCGGGTGGCCCCTCCTGTGCTAGTGGATGGAGCCTTGCTTTTGTTCCTTGGAAGAATAATTAGGTCCAGGACACTCTGAGTGCACGCTGCTTGGTCCTAAGTTAAGGTTAATCATCAGAAATGCTGCAGTCCCGGTCTTCACCTACGGCTTTGCTCACACAGTTTCAGGCGTTCACGGGGTAGCCTGGGTGCAAAATTATATTAAGCAGAAAATTCCAGGAGGAAAAGAATCGTGTTTTAAATTGTGTACTGTCCCAAGTAGCATGATAAGCATCTTCACTTCTCTGCCTGGGTGTGAACCCCGGAGTATCCAGCTTTACATTTTAATGGCAGTCTACCTCATCAGCAAGGGCACGTGCCATCTTGTATTTATCGGCCTTTCATTAGATCTTTAGCTTTCTTTTTATGTTTTTCCTTGCTCAACTCTGCATCAGAACTCACGTACCTAATAGGAAAAAAAATCCCTTTTGGAATCTATTAACTTAGCGGACCACTAGCTTCAAAGCAACACACAAGTCATCAGATAACAGCTGAGGCCTGTAGGGGAGATCTCCCCATTCTGCTGCAACTGGCATCCTGATGTATGTACCCACCAAAGCTCTTAAAAATTGCCCTGCTTTATGACTTTCTTTGTCCCATTACTGAAAAATGCAACAAAACTGCTTCCACATTGAAACATTATAATAGGGGAGACTTAAAAAGTCATTCAAGTCAGAATGTATGTTACTATGACATGATATGGTCATTCTTATTTGCTTCAGAAAAACACATATCTGTCACTACTTTAAGGTGAGAGCTGTTTCTTTCAATGACGGTCTTAGGAATCCAAGATCAGGCTCTCATGCTTGTGTGCTAAGCCTTACTGACTGAGTCATCTTTCTAGCCCATCTTGTTATCCTAGCAAATGGCTATTGCATACAGTGTTCAGGTAGCTCTAAAGATAATATATTTTAAGGCATGTTTATTTCTATGTGATACCTTTAAATTGTTTAAGAAAGCAAATTACTTTATAGGCAAGTCTGTCTTTAAGAGTCCCTCAAATAGAACATCTGTTTTAGTGTCAACTGCATAACTGAAAACCAAATTAATAGTTCACTCTATCCATTCCTATTCAGCTTCTTTGTTCCTAAGATTCACTGAGGCCTCAATTCATTGAGTAACTTGCATCTTGCCCGTACAGTATGAGAGGAAATAGACATTTGATATATTAAGAGTTCTAACCCTATGTTATGGTCTGAAATAATGTGGAGAAGATTGCCAAATTAACCAGATGTTTTAACACACATACCAGAAGAGGGCAGCTCCACCAAGGCCTCCAATGGTCACGTCAGTCAAACCATCGCCATTTAAATCCATCTCCCCGTGGATAGACTGGCCAAAAAATTTCAGTGTCTTGCCATCCCCACCTGATGCAATACGCTGTGAAAATCGCAACAGACAGGCAGATGTCAGGAGAGTCCATTCAAAATAGCTCTGAGAGCCAGGCATGGTGGCACAGGTCTTTAATTTCACACTCAGGAAGGCAGAGGCAGACTGATCACTGTGAGTTCTAGGCCAGCCTGGTCTACAAAGAGAGTCTAGGACAGCCAAAGCTACACAGAGGAACTCTGTCTCAAACAAAACAAAACAAAAATCAAAAAAACCAAAAAACAAACAAAAAAGCTCTGAGTAAACCTGAGAATTTGGATTAGTGAATAAAGTTAAAAGTAAAGACCTCAGTGGAGAAGCAAGAGGAAACACTGAGATGTTTCCAAGGGAAATTGTTCTTCCTGTAGTACAGACTGTTATGTGAGGGTTACTGACTCAGTGAAAAGGAGAGCTGACATGTAACATCATATTGTCTAATGCTCAAAAGAAATCTGAATATTTTTATATTAATTACAGTTTATTCACTTTGTATCCCAGCTGTAGCCTCTTCCCTCAACCACCCCCCAACCCTACCCTCTCTTCCTCTTCTCCTCCCATGCCCCTCTCCAAGTCCACTGATAGGGAAGGACCTCTTCCCCTTCCATCTGACCCTAGCTTATCAGGTCTCATCAGGACTGGCTGCAATGTCCTTCTCTGTGGCCTGGCAAGGCTGCTCCCCCCTCAGGGGGAGATGATCAAAGAGCCAGCCACCGAGTTCATGTCAGAGACAGACAGTCCCTGTTCATCTTACTAGGGAGCCCACTTGGACACTGAGATGCCATGGGCTACATCTGTGCAGGGGTTCTAGGTTATATCCATGCATGGTCCTTGGTTGGAGTATCAGTCTCAGAAAAGACCCCTGGGCCCAGATATGTTGGTTCTATTGCTTTCCTTGTGGAACTCCTGTCCTCTCCAGGTCTTACTATCTCCCCCTTCTTTCATAATATTCCCTGCACTCTGCCCAAAGTTTGGTTTTGAGTCTCAGCATCTGCTTTGATACACTGCTGGGTAGAGTCTGTGGTAAGATCCTGTCCTATTTCCTGTTTTCTCCTTCCATCCCATTTGTCTTTCTGAGTGAGGATTGATCATCTTACTCAGGGTCCTCCTTTTTGCTAAGCTTCTTTAGGTACAGATTTTAGTATGTTTATCCTATATTATATGTCTAGTGTCCACTTATAAGTGAGTATATACCTTGTGTGTCTTTCTGCTTCTGGGATAACTCACTTAGGTTGATCTTTTCTAGATCCCACCATATGCCTGCAAATTTCATGATTTCCTTGTTTTTAATTTCTGAGTAGTATTCCATTGTGTAAATGTACCACAATTTCTGTATTCATTCCTCTTTTGAGGGACATCTGGGTTGTTTCCAGTTTCTGGCTATTACGAATAAAGCTGCTACGAACATGGTTGAGCAAAGGACACTGGCATCAGAATAAAACAACAGCCTACAGACTGGGAAAGGGTCTTCACCAACCCTATATCTGACAGAAGGCTAATATCCACAATATATAAAGAACTCAAGAAGTTGAAAAGCAACAAATCAAGTAATCCAATTAAAAAATGGAGTACAGAGGCATAGTCCTCTGTAGAGAAATATAGAATGGCAGAGAAACACTTAAAGAAATGTTTAACATCCTTAGTCATTAGGGAAATGCAAATCAAAATGACCCTGATATTTCACCTTATACCCATCAGAATGGCTAAGATCAAAAACTCAAGTGACAACACATGCTGGAGAGGATGTGGAGAAAGGGGAACCCTCCTCCATTGCTGGTGGGAATGTAAACTGGTACAACCACTTTGGAAATCAATCTGGTGCTTTCTCAGACAGTTAGGAATAGTACTACCTCAAGAGCCAACCATACCACTCCTAGGCATATATCCAGAAGAGGCTCAAGTACACAAGCTCTATTTCTGTTTCTTTTTGAATGATAATAAACAGATAATATTTAAATGTTTTGGAAACATACCATATATGCAGGAAGTAGAAGAGATGATTGCATAGGAAAATTAAAAAAAAAACTGTTCTAAAAGATCCATCTGTGCTCATATCTACCCTCAACGTAAGGATGGCATAGAAAATATGGAGTTCTTGAAGGCTCACCTACGCACCTTACATAGAAAGTTACCTTACATGGGAAGTTATGTTTCTACGCTTTGTAGCTTGGTATTTGTCCAAGCAGATACTGTCTTGATAGAACCTTCTGGCAGGGTTCTATAAAGCACTAACAGCCCCTTCCTAAACTTTTGGTATTCCCTCCCTCAATTCCTTTTAAACAACACAGAGGGAATCATCAAATAAGAGAAAACTAACATGGAAGGATTATATGTCCCCTTGACAAATATTCCTGTTAATTTTTCAGCAAACAAACCAGGGAGGTATGAGCCTCATTAGCCCCAAAGAGCTGTTACTACTTGATGCTGGGTCAGGCTGCATTTCTGGAAATGGGTAATTACATCTTCAGCCGTTCCCTGGGAATGCATATTGCAGTAAGAAAACAACCTAACTCTATTACTGTTATGTTGATTTTGTTTAAAGATGCTTCTTGACTTACCACTACTTTTTTTTAAAATGCACTACTAATGACAATTTATTCCATTAAACAATTAAAAATCTCTTGTTGCTTCAAATGCTATTCATTAAACCTGCAAGATTCATACTGAAAGAACAAAGCAACCAAATAAAAGAAGCCTCTTTGTGTGTACTTCCTGGTTCCCTAATGGCCCAGTGGTTAATACTGCCTGCTACTAGTTAAGCATGTAATCCTACAAAGACTTTTAACTAAAACAAGTCATTTGTCAAATGGATAGGACTACTGCTACTTATACAAGCCATTTATTTTGTTCACAATTAATGACATTATAACTTTATAAAAAGTTAACAAAATTTTACATGAATAGCTTTTGAGACCATTGAAGTGTAAAATGAAAAAGCTAATGTCTGAATTCTCTTTATGGTTTAGTTGCTGGAGAGCATTTATGTAAGTGTTGAAATATAAGATATTTATTCATAATAGCCCATTGCTTATTGTTATAAAAAAACTGCCCATTACATTCCAACTTCTCTAAACTCTCTTGTATTTATGGTATTTATCGTGTATTAAACATTTATGTGAATGAATATTTTTTTTATTTAATAAGAAATTAAATTTATAGATTAGGTCAGTAAATGTGAAACTGCTAACTATCAGTAAATTTAAAACAAGAACAACAGAAATCCTCTGCAGGTCAAATTAATCTAACTCACATTTTTCCAAGAAATATTACTTGAGAAAAAAAATTGTAAACCTCATAAACATTTTGATTTGATGAAAATGTATAATATTAATTCACAATTATAAATTTAATGCAATTTTGTTTACCAACAATATGAGCACTGAATAAAACATCCCACAGTCTCCTTTACTGACTAAATCACACTGTTGTTGCCCTCTTCCTTTTTAGGATTTAGGATTAAGTACACAGTAGATGTCAAGCCACTTTATTTACCAGGTTTCTTTTGTTTTCTATTATATTACCATTTCAAATGAGGTCCAAGAAGGCAGACAAATAACCACAAAAAAGAAACTAGGTAAGAGTATAAAACACTAGCTAACTCTTCTAAGAAAGAATACAAGAGAAAGTCTCATGGAGTTTCCCAAAGGGTCAGCATAAAGTTATGAGTAACGGAGGCGAGCCCACGTGGCATGGAAACCTGAGGCCCTGAGGGGAATCCTGGTGTCTTACTTGTGCGAACTCCTTCCTTATGGTCTTGCCACCGCCATGATAGATGTACACAGCTCCTGCGTGGTCATCCTCCAGCGGAGCTCCAACCACAACATCATTAAATCCATCCACGTTGAGGTCTTTTACAGCAGCAATTGCTGTTCCAAAACGGGCCCCACAGGGCTCATTCTTGTTTTCTTTTGTGCATGAATTATCCTTCAGAGATGAACAGCATGTCTGCTTAATTGGTTCCAGGCTCATTTGATATTCAAACCTTGTCTGGAGGGAAGATAAACAGAATACTTAAGAGTTTCTAACACTGCTACTGTAGGGTACCTTTGTTTTTTTAAGCACACACACACACACACACACACACACACACACACACACACACACTACACCGAGCTTATGAAATAACCATTTGCATACAGACGGCAAACCTGTAAAGTATATGAAAAAAGTGGGAATGCCAAAGGAGCCTCAGCAAGCAGGCATGATGAGAATTCCAATAGGCTGTTCCTAATGAAGCTAAGGGTATAATTAGTTGCATGTTTTCGACTTATTAAGAACTGAAAGTTAAATCCTCCATTGTGTGCTCCTAGCCCTGCTACACCCACCCTGTGCATCTTGGATGAGACCCTTAGTTCATCCTCCACCTAAGATAAGGACAAAATTTACTCTGTTCATGAAACTAACATTGCTGCCTGCAATGGAGGGAAACATAGACACTGCTAACAAAGAACATACTTTGAGAGAGAGAGAAAAAAAAAAAAACAAACAACAACACAGTTTCTTTCTCCAAACAAACACACAGGAGAGGAGAAAGCCAAGGGGGAAAAATAGAAAGAAAGGTACACAATTTATGATTTAAAATAATTATTATGCAAGAAAAAAATTAAGAACCAAAATGAACAAACAAACAAATGAAAACAAAACAAGCCACTGACCTGTCTGTAAATAGCAAATATCCTTTTAATAAATTAGGTAAAAGTTATTTCACCCAACAAGTGATGTCTAAAATTAGGACTGAAATGAGACTGTCTCCTCACGGGGTGAAGTGTTACAAAACCCACAGTGTCTCCCAAGGAAGGGCCTGGGGTCACTGCTATTAAATTGTTTCTGGCTATTGCCATGGTAACTGTGGATGACCCCCCACACACACACCACGCAGGCTAGAGCTCTTGAATAGTATGAGCAGGATATTTACCAAGTGTCATTTGCATTTGCCTTACTTATCCCGCCTATTCTGGAGGGGTGGGGGAGAAAGAGAAAGAGAGAGGGAGGGAGGAAGGGAGAGAGAGCAAAACAAACTTATTTCACATGTTCAGGCAAAACATAATTAAAGTCTGAAAGTACTTAGCTTGGATTCTAAACGTTCCCTTTGAAAATGTGAAATTGAACGGGCCTAGCAAACTTCTTAGATCACTTTTCCCACGCAAAACTAGTGAAAAATATTCGAGATGCGTTAGTGGGAACTGAAGGGAAGGAAGGGATTTTCTGGATGCGCCACAGTCAGATGTCATTACCTGATTCACAGCGTACACGTACACTTTGCCTTGTTCCTGTTTGTCTTTTCCCATATACATTGGGGCTCCGACGAGAAGCAGGTCGGTGTAAGAATCTTTGTCAATGTCAATTGTTGTTAAGACGCTGCCAAAGTAGGAACCGATCTAGGACACAAGACAAGACAACAAGCACACGGATGAGCTCTCGGAATTTCTCCCGGAAGCAGAAGTCTGCCGTTCTATTAACTGTCCTTGTCTAGAAGAGGACGTGAGGTTGGTGTCAAAGGCAACGGAATACAGAAAATGGTGCAAGCCAAGTCTTCTCTGAAGACTGAAGACTGAAGTCCTGATTTGGAGAATGACGAGGGGTAAAAGATTTCAGTCTATGACTACGTTCATTTCTATTGTGACTTTCCTTGCTTTTCCACACATCAGACCAGTACTACCACAGTGGTTTTTGTTTTTGTTTTTGTTTTTGTTTTTAGAGAAAAAGATTTTTAAAAATGAGATAGAGAGAGGTACTCTGGTTTCTTCAGGGTGTAGGTACAATAACGTGGGACGGTGAAACAAATGAACAGAAGGAGCTGAGTACTCCTGCAGTAAACAGAGCTGAGGAAGTTACATGTTGGTCTCTTGTGGTGCCTGCTGAGCAGTGGCAAAGTCGTGGTCCAGCATCTGCAAGGCATAGAAAACTAGGAAAAGATTGCAAGGCCTATCCTCCTGAACAACGTTTTGTTTTTTTTTTGTTTTTGTTTTTGTTTTTTAAAGGACCTGTTTTAGCGAGGAACTGGATTTACACTGTCTAAATGCTGAAATCACTTTTCACATACTGACCTGCGTTTAATACTCACATTCTTTTCTTTTTTTAATACTTCACATTCTTAATATATAACTTTTTTTTTTTTGGTGAAATAGGAAGGATTGAGACAAGGTCTTTTTCTGCAGTCCGGGCTGATTGGAATTTACTGTACAGCCCAGGCTGTTCTTGAACTTGTGGCAATTCTGTCTCAGCCTCAGAGTACTAGGATTATGGGTGTAAGCTATCATGCTTGCCATATACCACCAAAACTCTTCTTGTTTTTCATCCTGGCAAGCTCCTTTCTCTCATCTCATCTCCTAAACTTCATCCTGCATTAACTGTCAGGCCTGTCGTCTTCACTGGGTTCTCACAGGCTAGATGACATTGTTCCACAGTTCTCTCACAGCTTCGCTGATGCACACATCATCTCCCTTCTCTAGGCTCCCGGCCATTCCTAGAAATTTCCGGACATGGATTTGAAGCTGTTTCTTTTGAATGTTCTTTTCAGTGATCCTTTAAGGTACCACTTCACAGACATTTGAAAAGCTTACTGCTAAAAGAAAAAAATAATTGAACTAATTATAAATACACCTGCCTCCACACAAGCAAAGAAACAAAGAAACAAAACCCTCAAACCCTAAAACTGTAAGACACTGCACTAATGGGCATCAGTTTCTAGTGTCAGTCGTCTTCTGAAGCTGACTGTGAGCTCATGAGCTGCTCAGGTCCACAGTTCCTCTGCTTTCTCAGTCCCATTGCCAGTAGCTTTGGTCATGAGAATTTGTGTTTCCATAGGAACCACGTCTAAGTGTAATGATGTTCTTGAATTACCACAACTTCACAAATTCACAAATGGTTAACTTTTCATGATGGAACAACCTTTCTTCCCTTTCTTCTTCTTCTTCTTCTTCTTCTTCTTCTTCTTCTTCTTCTTCTTCTTCTTCTTCTTCCTTCTCCTCCTCCTCCTCCTCCTCCTTCTCCTCCTCCTCCTCCTCCTCCTCCAGAATCTCAGGCTCAGAACAGAAATGATTACTTTGAAAAAAAAAATCACCTGACATTCTCTTTTACTCCTGTAAGAATGTTTATTTTACAATTTTTGCATTCCGCTATACTTGCGACACCCTCAGAATGATAACAGATGCAAGCTGTCAATAACAACAATTAGCATTTTCCTGTCCTTCAGCTTTATTTACCACTCCCACTTCCGTCTCTTCTACCTCTTCCCTATCAAGTTCATAATATTAAAAAAATAATTTTAGAATCTTTGCATGTCACCTTTGAGCTACAATGATCAGTCTATTTTATTGTTGATGAGTTTATGAAATATGAGTTTAGTAAATATGGCTGAATTAATAAAAATCCTTTCAGTTAATAGAAGAGACTACCTCTGATGACTCTGACATTCCTCTGGAGTCTGCTCAGGATACTCTGCCTGCACTGCTGAGCAATGCTGGTCGGGGGTGAAAATAATTTGGCCTGGGATGTGGTGTTTAGGCTGGGTGGAATTGGAAAGGAACTGTTTGTGTATAATGGGGCTTCACAGACAGTGGTGGCCCTTTGGAGAGGTCCTGGGAGCTTTCGCTATGCTATCGCAAAGGGCACTGTTCCTCTGAGGCTCAGGCTGTTTCTAGACCTACTCAGTGTGACTCTCCTGATACCTGAGCTGCAGGTTATGATGGCTGTGGCCAGGACTCCCACAGAGGAGGAAGGTGTATCTCAGCCCTGCATATCAAAGCCTGAGCAGATCATCCTTGCAAATGACAGGATGAAGGCAGTGAATTCTTACTGTGGAATTCTTAGAAAATATGAGGAAAGAAAATATGAGGAAAGAAAAGACAAAAGCTATTCAAATTACTATTCAAAAGCAACTACTGAATAGCATGGTTAGACATATTTTCCAGCCTAAAATACTGTAAATATTGCCATTTCCTATTGTATGTATAGTTTCCTAAACACCTTTTAATATTTAAGGGTATTTTAAAGAATTTTCCAATTTTGCATGCTACATACAATTTCCCATTACTTACGGCATGATCCAATGTTTTGAGTTGGGCATTTAAAATCTGACACACTTTAGTCTTTCTCTTCTTTCTTCTTCTATACTGTCTCTCCTTTTAGAGCCAACACAACATTTCTCTCTTAAGAGTTTCCTGTACCAATCATAACTTCATGCTACTTCTAGCTCATCAATGATTAATTAATGCAACTGGCCCTTTTATGCTCCTTAATGTTTTAGATCTTAATATTTCTTGTCTAGATTGACTATAACAGCATGAAACGGCTTTTATCTGTTCATATCTACCTTTACCTTCGTCCAGCTAACATTCTTATGACATCAAAGATATGGCTACTTCATACCCCTACAAAATATCAAATAAAGGTCTTCTTCATGATGTATTTTGAATGATTGGGTTTTAAAAACTTCAAGTCAAACTCTACCCAGAGTCCCCAGAGGTGACACAGAACAGTTCATTTCCCGTTTACCTGCTCTCCACTGAGTGTCTGGAGAATGCTGATGCTCCCATCCTCCATCCTGTAGATGACAACCTGGCCTGTGTGATTGTACCGAGGCTGACCAGCGATATAGAGCACATCTCCAGGGACAGTGGCAGAGTTCACCATGTAACCTAGCCAAGGAGAGAGCCAAGATGTGGGCCTGGACCCTTAAAGTCCTATGGAGTATATCATGACTAACTTTAAATGGTTGGGCTAATCATCTCTGTATTTTCTCATAGTTTGTGTTGGTGAGAAGCCTTTATTGAGTTCCCTGTTTCTGCCACACTGAATGACTTGGAAACGATAATTCCCCAAGCCCGGTTTTTCATTGTTTAAATATGCAAATGATATAACAGTGATGACAGAAAAGGGTACCTACAGGAACTCACACACACTCACACATACTTACACCCACCTGAAAACCCTCCAATGACCACTTTGCAGCAAGTCAATTGTATTTTATTTAGATACAAGTGTCTGTACTATCAACATTAATAGAGTTTTTGGGGGCAGGGTTGTTGTGTGTGTTTGTTGGTTTTGGTTTTTTTTTTTGTTGTTTGTTTTTTTTTTTTTTTGAGACAAGGTTTCTTTTTGTAGTCATTGCTGTCCTGCAACTCACTCTGAAGACCTGCCTCTGCCTGCTGAGCACTGGGATCAAAGGGGTGTGCCACCACACCCAGGGAACACTAACAGTTTTATATTCTCTGAATGACAGAAAACATAATTTCTTCCTTCATTGCTACCCAAGTTTTTAAACTGAAATTTTATATGGCTGAAGGTTGCTTGTCTGAATTGTGTCACAAAGGTATTGCATTTATTTCCTGGATATTTACTGATGGAATAATGGAATTTGGGTATTTTTGTTCTTTGTTTTCTTTTGTTGTTTTCACATTTTTTCTATTATGTTTATGATAATAAAGGCAATTTTTGAGGACTATTTTCTTCTTCTGAATATTTTTAGCAATAAATTTCAAATAATAAATGACTGGATCATTTTTTTCCTCATTGGTACATTGTCAGGTAAGTTGCTTTCAGAACACACTACGGTTACTCTTTGACCTGCTGTATAAGAGACTTCTGGCTCCATTAAACCTTCTCAGGTATTGTGTATGAGAATTGGGATTTACATTTGTGGATGTTATGATGCTTGTTAAATTATCTAATGACAGTTCTTTGCTGTGATTTTCAGTGTTTTTTTTTTTTTTTTAATGAAACCTGACTTTTTCCACACATCTACTCATCCCATTCTCCATGCTCTGTAAAATTGCTTTCTTTTTACCCGCTTTTGCGTTCACTTATGTGCATTTTATGTTGACTTCTCTCATGAGCCAGGAAGTTTTGTTTGTTTGTTTTCTCTTTTTCCTTTCTCTTCCAGGCCACCTCCACTTAAGGTGTAAGAACACTGGGTTCTGCTCCAGTCTGAATCCTGTTGTTATGACAGGGGAGCTCATGCATGGGTCGATCTGATTACGAGCCCTGTTCTCTCCTGCAGTCTGTACATGGCCACGGACCTGGCACAGGTGCCTCTGTTGACTTAGCTCAGTAACCAGGGAATTCATAGGCAACCCCCACATTTGGCACTACCTTACATATCTGTATACATGTACAACAAAATTTCCACACCCCTTGTTGGGAAGCCACTCTCTTTCCAAGGCCTTCGGCACACCTACAAGTCCGTCTCTGCAGAGATGAAGGGATCCGCAGTGCAACGGTAAAGTCCTCACTCAGATGCATGGTGGCTTTTCCGATATCCATAGCCTCTTAGCCTGGGAAGTTTCTCAGATATTCTTAAAATGGACATGATGTGTTTAGTATGTACATGACTGGAGGAAAGTTCTGGGTCAGAAATGCACAGTAAACCAACTCCAGAGTCACTTCGGGCAAGTTAGGAAAGGCCTAAATTTTGGCTTTAAGTCAGATCATTATTATTATTTTTTTTGAGAGAAAAATAGTTTTGTATTTTGTATCTGCAGAGCATGGAGCTAAATCAATGCATAACCCATACTACACTTAGGCTTGAGCTCTGCAGAAGGAAGCAATGCTCTAATAGCTAGAGGTGGCTTGTTACTGGACTCGAAGACTGAGTAGGCCAGAACACCACAGGGAACTGTTTCTAACTGCGAAGGAGGTCATATTGTTAATTTAAGTAGCATTTTACTATAAGGTAATAATTCCACTTGCAAACAAATAATATGTTCATGTAAGTGCTAAGGGAACAAAATGTCAGGTGTATTTCCCTTTGTGAATATTTTTCAACTATCTTTATACATTCATCTCCTCTCCTCTCCTCTCCTCTCCTCTCCTCTCCTCTCCTCTCCCCTCCCCTCCCCTCCCCTCCCCTCCCCTCCCCTCCTCTCCTCTCCTTTTCTTTTTTCCCTCAAGACAGGGTTTCTCTGTGTAGCCTTGGCTGTCCTGGACTCACTTTGTAGACAAGCCTAGCCTTGAACTCACAGCCATCCACCTCTGTCTGCTTTCGTGAGTGTTGGGATTAAAGGCAGGTGCCACCACGCCCAGCTCACATTCATCTTTCTTTATGAGGAAGAGCATCTTCCATCTCTTGGAAGAAGCGTGAGCACTGGCAATGGAATAGGACATGCACGGCTTACCTTGTGCCTTTACCTCACTTCCTGTTCCTTTAGAGTTTGTCAGGCATGTAGGCATGTATGGATGAAGGGGACAGGGAGTTTAGACTCACCTGCCTCCTCCCTTCCTAAGCCTCTGCTTAAGCACATATCAAGTCAGGTTATGAGGTGATGGGAAGATGGGTGGGTTACTCTGTCCTGAGAGAGATGGCCACGCTTTATTTCACGCTGATCAGTGCATATATTTCCATAGCGTTGATCTCTTACTTTCCCCTTCACAAAATTTCACATGGCTTCACTAGTTGCCTTCCACCCAGATTTCATAAGAGCAAACTCAGTCTCTTTGTAATTTATAATCACCACAATGAAATATTTGAAAGTATCCCTTCATATTTGAAATAATATTTGAGGGTGGGTGAGGGGAAGCACAGGAAAGACATCTTAGACTTATTAGATATATGTTGGCAAATGTCTTAACTTTTGACTAAGGCAATGAAATGAACAGAAAATACTTGAGTATACTATAGAGAGCATATATAAATTTTTTCCTTTCCTAGGCACAGAGGATTCATAAATATGCACATATATTTACATACATTTGTGTATATACATTGTCAACTAGTAATTTTTTCAGATTCATTGAATTATAAATGATAAGAGGAGCTATATAAAGAAGGAAGGCTCCTATTTTAATGTTTTCTTATGTATGTGAAGTGCAATTTTAAATTATTTAAGTATGCTTTAATCAACCATTAATTCAAACTTTAGAGAATGATAGATTTAGGACTTTGTTTGACTTAAAAGAATTTGATTATAAAATCCTAACCTAGAATACCAATGATGATGATGATGATGATAATAATAATACACTGTTAAATTAATAATTAGAATAAATGAATAAGGAAAGTAGTGACCACGTCAAACACATTTGTTTTCTTCATTCAAGCTTGTTTTGTTTTGTTTTTGTTTTTCGAGACAGGATTTCTCTCTCTAGCCTTAGCTGTCCTGGATGCACTTTGTAAACGAGGCTGGTCTTGAACTCACAGAGATCTGCCTGCTTCTGCCTCCCTGAGCACGGGGATTCCAGGTGTTCGCCACCACCCCCGGCTTCTTCATTCAGTTTTTGTCTAAATACTTAGTAGCAACAGAATCCATGTTAGCAACTGACATAATATTTAACAGACCCACGTTAATTTTCTACTGAAGCTATAACAAATTATTATAAGCTTGATGACTTACAATATTCATTGCAAATGCTTTATTTCACAATTCTGTAAGCTGGTAGGTCCCCCTGGACTATAGTGAGAAGCAGGTCAGGCTATACTCTTTTCTGGTAGCTCGGCAAGATCACATGTCTCTGTCCCTTGTGACCTAGGGATACATGTGTTCCCATCTCCCTCTTCTTCGCTGGCAGTGGCACTGTATCTCTCTGACCGTCTCCTACAATTCTATTTCTCTCTCCACACATCTAGGGAAGATTTTTCTGGTGTCATCACTTGACTTTATCAGTCTATGGCAATATATCCAAGGGAGTTCTGTCTCAGGATCCTTCATGTAGCTGCGACTGGAAAGTCCTTTTGGCATCGGAAGGTAACACATTAAATGCCTGGGGATTAGGGAATGGGCATTGGATTTGTCTTTTAGGCTGAGGTCTTAAAGTGAATTTCTGAATGCAATATGATCCTTTCTGTGGCTCTTCAAACACACAGTCAACTTCCTCTCGTAAGAGCAGTTAGAGTGCCATCTATTATACATGAAGGTAAATGTCCCATAATTGTTCTACCTAGGACAGAAAGGCAGTTTAAGTTAAGCTAGTTCTTGAGTTCAAGGTATTTCACATTCAACGATGTCACAGAATCTTGGGTCATGAGAAATGTTAGAAGCTTTCTGAGTTGACTTTCACTGTTTCTGTCGCCTCTCTCTGCCTCAGGCCAGAGCCCACCAAGAGAGACTGCTTGTCTCTTCATTGTTTTTCATCCCAAACAAGGCCTGCACTCTTCTGCCTACTCCACATTGCTATTTTTAATCTGTTTAATGTGCTTGGCGCGACACAGACCCTCAGTATTTGCTCATGCTTTCCCCATTATCTCAGAATCAGGTCTTTTGGTACAGTGAAACGAAGACTGATGTAAGAATCAGGTGACCTGACTGGCATGTCATAGTTGCTACGGCTAACTGGAAGCACAGTCATGCTATCCTCTGATGATCAATTCAGAAAACAGATTAACCATGTCTGCCGCCACGAAAGCACACATGTAAAGTAAAGCTCAGCCCCAGAAGCTTGGATTACAGCTGCTCTTCTGCTTCAAAGAAACACTGTACACTTCCTTTCCCAGCTTCCCATTTCCTTTGAGATTCGGAGGAAGGTGAGCTTGTGTCAGGGAATCATTACAGATCTATCTTCTCTAAATCATTTTTTACTGGAATAACTTGACACGTCACTGCAGCTTTGAGTTGCTTTGTTTGTTTTCTGGTTGGAGTGGAATGTGGTGACTTCTGTGAGGGAGATGAGACCTTCCTTTATGCCACTCACTGTGTCTTAAGCTTTGTGCAGCCTCTGCTGCTCACCATTCCTTAGTTACCCGAAGCCCAAACTCTGAAGCCCTGCTGTGTCTGCAGCTTTCACACATGTCCTGAGGAAGGAGAGATGTGGAGGCACCACAGACACTTGGCAGTTTCCTCATGAGATACAAAGAAACTGGGATTTGGAAAGAAAAAGACTTGGATCCAGGGTCGAATACCGTGGTGGTAAAACGGGGTGTTTGCTTTATCGCTGTACCCCAACACTGAGAATGATGACAGGGCATGAGAAGACCTAAGGATGAGTGTGTTAAGTGAGGGGGGCCCACATCAGGAGGGTTCTGTTCATTTTAGACCTTCCCACCTGTTTCCTGAGCCCTTCCAGTGACAAGAGGCCCCCCTCCTGCCCCAGTTGTTTCTGAGCCTGCTATATATCCTGAATAAGCTGATGCCTCCCACTCCCTTACATACCCCATCTTATTCTCCGCAAGGTTTAGAGTAAAACGCATTGCTGAGTCTAAGTACAGCAATTCACTGAGTGGAAAGAGGGCTATCAAAGAAGCAGTTACATGATAACACAGTTGAAACACTCTTTCTGAATGAAACCTCCCGAGAGAAATCATTATGTAAGAGATAAGGTAGGCCATTCCATGTTTTTCTCTAACCTTGTTTTCTGCCTACCATGTCCAAAGCTCTTCTGTTCTTAAAGGAAATATCAGGCATGGGGAACACGCATAGAAAGCACCAGGTTGGCTAACACTGCCCCTTGCGCTGTTCATACCTCAGCAGGCACTAGGCTAACGACCTGCAGAGTCTGTGGCTTTGACTCTCTAAGGCTGCTGGGAATGTCTGAAACTTTCCCCTTCCAAAGCATAAAACTACAGGGACAGGAGAAAATTGTGGTAAAGATAAAACAATGTGGAAGACTTCTTCAGAAGAAGGCTTCATCAGTTGCATCCGAGCCTTACCTAAGTAAGAAGCAAGAGGTTCGTTCATTTTGGCGGGCTCACGTTGAAAGGTGGTATTCCGAGGGATGACACTGTGGTTGGCCTTCTGCATGACCACAGTTCCGTTCCAGTCATAGGCGCCCACTGCTCCAAGCATGACCCAATCCTAGCAAGCACAGAGAACAGGAAAATGGCGTAGGCAAACACATACAAAGCATTAATAAAACGATAGGAATAGTTCAAAGGGCTTTATACAAATTGATTTGCATAGTCCACCCAATAACTTTATTTACAAGAACCCGATATTACAATCCGTATTTTCTTTAAAAAGGGAGCTGAAGCATACTATGTTACCTCCACACTGAAATGTCCACATGCCTGTACAATGACCGTGATGTCTTCTCTTGCCTTCCTATGCTATTCTGGGTACGTAATTAAAACAAAACAAAACAAAACAAAAAAACAGCAAACAACAAAAAACAAAAAACAAACAAAAAAAAAAGGAACAAAACCAAACCAAACTTACTTCTTAGTCTTTTAAGGAATTTTGGCATAACCAATGGATATACCTTAACACAGAAAAAGATTCCACATTTGAAACCCATTTCTTAGGTCTTCATTTCATTAGACACTCAAGTACATCGAGCAGTCCTCAGACTCTCTTATTCATGACTATTAACTGGTAAAGTGTAGGAGTGTGTAATGATCTCTCCTAATGAGGTTGTGAGACATTTTCCCATTTGGATTCGGTATCACCATCACAGCCGGCAGAGCCGCCCTCACCCTAAACTTCAAGACAATCTTATGCAATCGATGCCTGGGCATTGCTTGAGAGAGAAAAGGTTGCAGAAAAGATATTTCTTTCTAGCACATGACCAACGTACCTGTGAATAGTGAGCACTGAAGCCAGTCTGAGACATTTCCATTTCAAAAGAAGCTGCTGACTGGTCAGCTGTAGCTATAATGTAGGAAAGATATCAGAATAAGTGAGTAGCAATGTCTTTTTGGCTGTTATTGACAGGCTGGATGTGGGACTGCTGGAATATAGGGACCTGCCAAGCCGAACTATGAAACCTATCAGGGCACTATCAGCCATGTACCTCTCAACCAAAGCTCCTAGGCAGGGTTAAGTATAAAACTGGTTAGTGAAAGGGCTCTTTTCTCCCGCTCTTACCCATTGGCTTCCCGTTTTTGCTGAGGGAATGTTGGTCTACTTGATTGCAGGAAGTTTATTTGGTCTTAAAAAATAAGCTAAAAGTAACATATAATTTTATGACAGTCAACTCAGCCTGACTGTCAGTTCAATACTGTGGCTGACTCTAACTCCATGGTGTGTTGGAAAGCTGAATTACTGCAGTGGAATCAACTGTCTTGTCTGCCTGATCTGGGAACCCCATCAGAGCTAAATTTGATACCTTACCGGGATGGGAAAAAAAAAATCTCACTGGTGTATTTAAAGAGAGTCCCAACTCATCAGTCTCACCTACATGCCCCCAGGCCGTGCATCCTCTGGAGGTGCCACTGTGTGACAGAGCTGAGGAGGTGCTTCGTGTCGGTTCTAAGGCCGAATGTGGTGATGACTCAGCTCAGGAGGTGACTTTTGCACACAGCTCCCGTCGGAGTCTATATTTTTAAAACATCAGTTTTAAAGCTCACTGCTGAAGTGCCGACAAGTCAGAGTATTGTATAGAACTTCACTCTTCTCAAAATATTTACAGACCAGAAGCCACAGTCTCCTGGGGGAGCTGAGGGAATGTTGATCTACTTGCTTCCAGGGAGTTACTGGTTTATTTGGTCTTAGAAATAAGTTAAAAATAACATTATTTTGGCCAAGTCAGCCTGTCTGTCAGCTGAAGCATGAGAATCATTAAATTTTTGATAAACATGTTTACTATTTATTTACTGGCAGAGAAGTTTTTAAAAAATGCATCTGTAATTGAATTTTTATTAAGCTAGGTTAAATGATTAATTAAATGGCAATTAATCAAGAATTTGAATGTATTACCTAATTCTCTTATACAAATTGCCCTCCAAACGACTAAAGATGCATTTTACCTTAAATTTAAAAATGTGTTTTTGATACTTAATGATTTAAGCTACTTCTATGCTTATTTTTTTCAGGAATGATAACAAAAATATAGTGGTAGATAGGAGCAACCCCACCCTTTGCTGATGATGTGTTTTTCCCTGAGAACAGAGAAAGTAGCTACATGACCTTCCATTTGTTACATGGGCACATGCCAAGTTCTTCAGTTTGAACCTGCCCCTGACAAGCCACTCTGACCATGACACTGTTTTTGGTTAGGAGTGTGGGCATTTTCCCCAAAGTTGATTGAAAAAAAGGAGGGTGGGGTGGCTCATACCTTTCCCTGATCTAGTTAGTCAATCCCTGAGCTTGCTTGAGTCACGAGGTGGAATTGTTCTTGTAAGCCAGACTTTCATAATTGCAGCTGTTTATGATCGAAAAGAAATAGTGACAGGAAATGGAGAATTTTCCACACAACAGGGGGGAAAGACTTTTCTGATCTCATTATGAAAGTAGTGAGAACTAGCATAATGAAAGCACTGCCCTGTGATGCCAGCACCAGGAAGCTGAGGCAGGGGAGCAAGGCGGGGGCAGGGAGTGGATCTTGCCTTGAAAACAAAACAAAAAAACAGAAACAAAACAGACAACCCACATGAATTTTAGCTTTGACAGTGAAGCATTAAGATGAAGAAAGATCTTTTAATCTGTGGAGAGTTTTTTAAAAATAATTTCTTATTTACATATAGAGGTATCTTGAAGCATTTGGACATTTTAGAGAGAAGCATTAACTGTGATTTGGTTAGGTTAGAAAGAATCTTAAAATGTCATTTCAGGCAAAATGACCTTACTTGCTTTTTACTTAGAGAACAGCAAAACTATGGTTAACTGACTAATGTAATAGTAATTAAAAAAAAAAAACTCATGCAAGTGGCGTTAAACAGAACAAACAGGTTATATTTAGAAATCTATATGTATATACATATATGCATGTAATAATAATTAATGAAAAAGAATTCATGAATTTGAAGGATAACGGGAGGGTTATATGAGAGGGGCTTATAGGAGGAAAGAAAAAGAGAAATTCTGTAATTATATTATGTCTCAAAAATAAAGTAAAATAATAAACAAAAACATACAAACAAAAAACACCCAACCTTTGTAGATTTTTTTTCTTTGGCCTGTGATTTTTATGTTTGTTTGGTTGTTTTTTTGTGAGGGGTTGTCTTGTTTTTGTTTTTTATTTTTGTGGGGGTTCTGGTTTTGTTTTTTGTTTTTTCAGGACAGAGCTTCTCTGTGTAACAAGCCCTGGCTGTCCTGAATTCCCTTTGTAGAGCAGGCTGGCCTTGAACTCACAGAGATCCACCTGCCTTTGCCTCCCGAGTGCTGGAATGAAAAGTGTGGGCCACCTCTCCCATCCTGGCCTGTATTATTAAAAGTTAAAAGTGCACAATAATTTGGAAGACCATCCATATTAAATCTAGATGAACATGGCCTGGCCTATTTGCTAAATAACATCTCAAAGGCTATTGAAAGACCAAAGGCGTATAATAGTGACATATACTCAGAACACAGCACAGCTGAACCATTCAGAAACTGCTATGACTTTAGACTGATTAGAAGTATTCTATACTCACTTATAAGTGGACATTAGACATATAATATAGGACAAACATACTAAAATCTGTACATCTAAAGAAGCCAAGCAAGAAGGAGGACCCTGCTTAAGATGCTCAATCCTCATTCAGAGAGACAAATGGGATGGACATTGGAAGAGGGAGAAAACAGGGAACAGGATAGGAGCCTACCACAGAGGGCCTCTGAAAGACTCTACCCAGCAGTGTATCAAAGCAGATGTTGAGACTCATAGCCAAACTTTGGGCAGAGTGTAGGGAATCTTATGTAAAAAGGGGGAGATAGAAAGACATGGAGAGGACAGGAACTCCACGAGGAGAGCAATAGAAGCAAAAAAATCTGAGCACAGGAGTCTTTTCTGAGACTGATACTTCAACCAAGGACCATTCATGTAGATAACCTAGAACCCCTGCTCAGATGTAGCCCATGACAGCTCATTATCCAAGAGGGTTTCCTAGTAAGGGGAACAGGGACTGTCTCTGACATGAACTCAGTGGCTGGCTCTTTGATCACCTCCCCCTGAGTGAGGAGCAGCCATAACAGGCCACAGAGAAAGACAATGCAGCCGGTCCTGATGAGACCTGACAGGCTAGGGTCAGATGGGAGGTAAAGAGGACCTCTCCTATCAGTGGTCTTGGAGAGGAACATGGAAGGAGATGAGGGAGGGATGGTGGAGTTAGGAGGGGCTGAGGGAGGGGTTTACAGCTGTGATACAAAGTGAAAAAACTTTAACTAATAAAAAAATTTAAAAAATTTTAAAAATAAAAAAATTAATAAAGAAGGATTCAAGTGTTCTGTCTCTGTGGGCATAGGAGAAAACAGCAGCTAGAGAAATTCCTTATGCCTGGAATCTAAGTCCTCCTTGTCCTCAAAATAAACCAACCTCCTGAGCACTGACAGTGCCTCAGACTGTGAGTAAAGCCAGTATCATTTTCATTAAAAGAGGATCTTGCAAGCAGGAAGAGATGAGAGTAGCACAGTGTATATAACAGCTATATTGTGAATCGTCCTGAGGCTGGCTTTATTTTTATATCCATGGATATGTGTGCACTGGAATGTGAAGCAAAAAAAAAAAATTGTTATCAGGGGCTACTCAAGAAATATTGAAAACCATTGCTCTACATCATTTTCTTGAACTGGAAATATAGTGAAGTTCTAGGGAAGTTGTCTAGCATATGTATGTCCCTGGGCTCAGTCCCCACCACATACCACAGATGTAAACATACACACACACACACACACACACACACACACACACACACACACACACACATTTTTCTTGTTCACGAAAATTCGTATACTCACTCAAAGTTGTCTACCCTTTACAAAGTGATGTCTGTTCCCCACATTATCTTTCATGTGTTATTCACAGGTCTGTTATGGAGTCTGAGTGAGAGCTTTTAACAACTACAGAAGTGATGCTTTTATAGTGCCCTCTTGAAGGCAGTCAATTGGACGGGAATGCCCCAGGAGGGCAAGTGGTTTCTCCAAGTGGGGAATCTGGGATGTGGCTTCTGAGTCTCCAGCCTTCAAAGATGTGGAAAAAGATTTTACTAGACAGAAGATATTAGTACCAAAGTTGTTTGTTGTTCTGAAACCCCCATTGAAGGGACTAGCAGTGCTCAGTAACCTCAGGAGCCAGTTGCCACTGAAAAAGTCAAAGGAATTAGACAACCGTAGCAAATGAGGTTTTGCAGGCAAAGGACTCGAGGCAAAACTCCATGGGGATCTTTTAAAATAGGCAAAGAGCAAATTACAGAGGAAATGAACAAAGAAACTGTTGCATCAGAACATTCTCGTTGCAGCCTAAGGAAACAAAGGCATTGTGGGAAACAGAAGTCGAGCTAGCCACTCCACACTCGAAAGCTGTGTCACAGAAAAGGAAGAAAGCATTCTGGGGCATTTGGGTTCTTGCGTATGTCTATGTTGACCACCGAGTTCACCAGCTCTCGTGTCCATCCTCTCGGCCTAACAAATAGCTCCCAGCAGACACAGGTCTCTGTGAAGTAGCTCCTTTCACATAAAAGAGAATTATTCCCTGATGGCTATGGCACACAGTGAAAATGAGCTAGTAATGTGCTGAAAATAATATCCCAAGCCTAATACCTAAGTTTGAAGTTCAGAAAGGTTAGGCAGGATTAGAAGAGATAGTCATACCTTCCAAGGCAAATATCCTTTCTCCCAGCGCTTTAACAATAGTGACCAGGGCCAACTCATCGGAGACATTGAAGAAGTGCTTTTCAGTGGGCTCACTTGCGATTGATTTTATTTCCTCCACAAATTTTTCAGTGCTTAAGTTCCCTCTGTTATAGTGGCCAAGGATCTAGGGCACAACAAAAACAGCCGTAACAAATATTACCTTCTATATGTTAAAAATGTATCTCAAGCATATTTTCAGTAAACAAGAGCATGCATGATATCTTATCACAGGGCAATTTTAGGTACTTATGGGAATATTTATGGACAAGAAGCTTTCTGAATACAGGTTTTCATAATATTAACTCATGCAAATATTTATTTTTCATTACGTGTGTGTGGATGTGTCTGTGTGTCTGTGTGTGTGCACCCGATTGCAGGTTCCCTTGGAGACCAGAGGGCTGAAATGCTCCTGGGGCTGGAGTCACTGGCAGTTATGAGCCACCTGACATGGGTTCTGGGCAGCAGACTTGTGTCCTCCACAAGAGCAGTACAAGATAATAACCACTAAGCAGCTCCTCATCCCTATACACTGATTTTTAAAACCATTGTTGAGGTAGCAAAATAAAGATCTTTCTTTTTCTGCACGTCCGTGTCTGTATTAACGCTAATGTTTTGAAATAGCAATGTTTTCTGCAATGTTATAACACAGTTTCTTTTTTTTTTAATTTTTCTATTTAACTTTTATTAATTACACTTTATTCATTTTGTATCCCCCCATAAGCCCCTCTCTCCTCCCCTCCCGATCCTAACCTCCCTCCCCTTTCTGCATGCATGCGCCTCCCCAAGTCCACTGATAGGGGAGGTCCTCCTCTCCTTCCTTCTGATCCTAGTCTATCAGATCACATCAGGAGTGGCTGCATTGTCCTCTTCTGTGGCCTGGTAAGGCTGCTCCCCCCTCAGGGGGAGGACAACACAGTTTCTTTATGTTTGTGGTATGACTGTAGCTTCTGACACCGCCGTCTTCTGGAGATGTTTTCAATGTTTGAATACATATATATGTTGGACAAATGTGCGTGTATGCCTGTGTACGCACACACATTTTTCTTACAGACTTGTGTACATTCCATATGTGTTTTGACATGAAGTCCTTTATGTTTATTTTATTTTTCTATGAGAGGTTTTAAATTTTCAAGAAGTCACACTAATCATGTGTCTTCGTTAAGGTATGTATAATTTTCTCTATGTAAAAATATCTATGTTCATAGTAATACTTACATTTTAAACCAAATATCCCCAATACAAAGATATGACCTAATTTTTTATACTTAAAATTGCATAGCAATGTGGGTATTACGAAAGAGATTCAAACAGATTAGTACCACAGTATGTTATTTTTTATTTCTGTGTATAAGACTGTATATTTCCATTTTTTATTTGCCTGCATATATTTAAAAACGTTTTCTTTTATAATGAAAATGTCACTCTTGTAATAAAACATGTTTATTTTTTATTTTATTATGAGTAACATTTTAATATTATTAGCTCTCAGTTTTAAAAATTTACGCCTCCTTTATTATGCTATCACAAATCGAGAACAACTTAAATACATGCAAATGATGGTGCATACGTGACGGTGTATTCATAAAATGGATAAGATAATAAATAGAAGGAGCACCAACATTAAAAAACATGGGTAATCTCTCATGAAAAGCAGAACACAGAAGAAGACACAGTATGCGATCATTTACATGGGATCCAGAATTAGTTGTAGAAGTGGTTGCAATAGGTTTTATTAGAAGACAAAAAGCACAGGGAACTGTCTGGAAGTGACAGACAAGGATATTAATAGGTGCATTTTCTATGTGCACTTGGTAATCATTCTCTGCACTGACGTGTTTTTCACTGTAGGCCAATGTTAGCCCAGCTTTTAAAAAGAACTGAACTGAATGAACAGATAGTACAAGCATACATGTTTTAAAAGTTCTAGCTACTAAAGACAACACAGCAGCCTTTACATTATATAAGTTAAAAACAGTAAACCATTATCAAGTTTAATTTTTCAAGTACAGGTACACTGATGCCACCAGATTATTAAAGGAAAAGACCAAGATCTTATGAGTATGGAATTTGGGTTGATGGTTATCCAAGCAAATACATGTGGTTTTAAAGTGACGTTTGAAATGGCAGGTTACAAAATGCTATTTTGATAAGATGTATACACACATACTTACAAAGAAAAGAGAAAAAACCCTCAAGTTACTATTCTTATTTCTTCTTAGGACCTGTGGCAGACCTGTTTGTTTCACTCGATGAATAGTGGTTGAAAGCGAGAGCTGAATCACTGATGCACACTGAGTGTGAATGTGAGAATTAGAGCTGTATCTGCTCCGGTCAGCAGGCGCATGGAGGCTTTGCCTAACATGCCTACCCCCCTTCCCTGGGGGACTTCGGTGACCAGCAAAGAGGAAATGTCACAATTCAACATCAGGGGCTTCAAGCCAACCCCCTCCCCTTCACCTTTAAGACCCCAGCAACCCAGTCCATGCTGGCCCATTAGGGGGCTAGGTGTACTCATAATAAATGACACTTGGATGTCTGGAAAGGACTGTCCAAGGCTTAAGGAAGCCTGGAGCTGATAGCAAGGTCACTTGTATGTGACTTAGGGTCTGAATCATGTGGATTCCTCTGATTTACCTAATGTATTCTGTAGATTTTGTGATGTCTGGATAATAAACTGTCATTGCTTCTCTTTGATTCTTTCCAAGCATATTCTATTGGATCCACACATCAACTTCCCATTTCATCATAAAACTGAAGTAATTCAAAATATACATAAAACAAACTTAATGGCTGAGCTTTAGAGCATGCATGGTTGCAGTTACTAATTGTGAGGTGAATGTTATCAGACATTTGGTGGTACGTGTGACAGGAGGGAGATAACTGGATTTAGCTAAATAGGAAAAGCACACACAGGACATATTCAAAGACAAGAATAATGTAGCTGAGTACAATGTCGTAGAATGCGTGTATACATATATACATTCAGGTGCAGGAGTTGCTGCAACTCCCATACAAGCTTGAATCATCTTAAATCATGGATGAAAACAATGACAGAAACCGATTGTCATGTGTCACCCAAGGGTCTGGTAGCTCGTAGAAATGTTTTCTATGAAAACAAACAAGAAGTTAAAATAATGTACTTTTTTTTTTAACTGCTTTATACAGCTCAAATCTGTGGAACCTAAGCATTTGAACTCTGCTAATATCTACCTGAAAAAAAAAAAAGTATTGGGAACTGAAAGCCCCCTTGAGGCAGGCATGTCAAAGTAAAGTGTGCAGTGCACGCATGTGCAGCCTCATGCCATCTGTGTGGAAACATACACGGAATGCTAAGAGCCTCGCTGATGCCTCATTTACATTAGGGTGTAGCAAGTGATCACACCTGCCAGCCATTATCACCTCAAACCAGACTGTGAATATCTAAGTAGGCCTGGTGGGCCAGTCTAACACTCTCCACTGACATAAATAGAGGACTAAAAGCCAACTCATGACCTCTCCAAATATGAAAATTGTACAGGAAGTGTTTGAGGTTTGAAAACAGGGAACTTATATTACCAATATTTAATCCTCTGGGGGAGCTGTTTCCTATCAAAACACATTTCTGTGTTGTTCCGAATCAAATAGTGGGCAAAAGACAGAGGAGAAGGGGTAGTCCAGATAATGCCTGAGATGAAAATAATAGTCCAGACAACAACTGAGACAAAAATAATAGTCCAGACAACAACTGAGACAGAAGAATGGCAAAGAGACTCACTGAGACAGAAAAGAAATAGTCCAGATAATGCCTGAGACAGAATAGTCCAGACAAAAAAAGAAAAGAGTCCAGTCCACTGAGAGGGGAGGTCCTCCTCCCCTTCCCTCTGACCCTAGCCTATCAGGTCTCATCAGGACTGGCTGCATTGTCTTCCTCTGTGGCCTGGCAAGGCTGCAATCACCCTCCCCACAGGGGGAGGTGATCAGAGAGCCTGTCACTGAATTCATGCCAGCAATAGCCCCGGGCCAGTGGACTAGGGGAGGGGCAAGAGGGAGAAGAAGGAAGGGGGGGGGAGATTGGGAGGAGACAAGGGTGGGGCCACAGCTGGGATACAAAGTGAATAAACTGTAATAAATATTAAATAAGAATTTAAAAATGTTTTAAATAATAAAAAATATAAAATTACTAGAAAAAAAAAAAAAAGAATAGTCCAGACAATAACTGAGATAGAAGCATACTTCAGAGAACAACTGAGACAGAAAAGATAGTCCAGACAGCAGCTGAGGTAGAGGACTAGCTGGAGCAATAACTGGGGCTCAGTTTCTATTTGTGTGACAGCACGCAGCGTGAGTGGACCTCGTGAGGTTCCGGAAGTCTTTCTGCTGAATGCACAAATGAGAGGAAGTGACACTAGTGTCTTGTTTTCTAGTTTTGGCCCCAGGATCTTTAGACATAAACATGATGCAGTAGGGAAAAGAGGCACAAAATAGGAAAAATATCGAATATTTACTGTTACGGGAAATGTCTTTTTTTTTTTTTTTTTTTTTTTTTTTCTATACAGCTTTCAAGAGCAGTTTAGTACTCACGGATGAAGTGAAAGACACGTGAGTATATGGTGCTCCATGAAGATGATTGGGATTCTGAAACCTCCTTTTGACAAGGTTAATGTCAAGGCAATGTGTGGCTATCAGATTCCAAACAAGCAAGGCAATTTAAGACAAGGAAAAGCTGACTGTGTTGCCGGAAGTAATACAAAACCCAGGATACAATAAGAGTTGTGCGCTGACATTGCAGGTTGAGTGTGTGTTTGTGTGTGTGTGTGTGTGTGTGTGTGTCTGCTCCCATGAGGGAGGCGAGCAAATCAATGGCTGAACTACATCCTCAGCACCAATCCTGTTAATTCTGATGATGGCTCATACTGTTCATGGCCTGCATCCATTGATACCTAGAATGCCAACTATTCCTCCGGGGGAAGCAGAGAAAATGAGATCATCTCTGCTACTCAGATGTCTGGAACCAGTGAGCAAGCCCTAGCTCTATACACGGAAGAAAGACACCAGCCACAGAGTAAATGTCACTCATTATTTGGACATTTTCTTGAGTGAAAGCTAGACCATCTGAAACTATTCTCAACCACAAATTCAAAATAGTTACACTGTAGCAGCAGAAGGGTTAGTAATAAAGAAACTTGGTAATAATTGGCAAGTGGATTGTTTTTTTTATAAAAATAGCAATAAGGAGAATTACAGCAGCAATTAGATGCTTGTTTTTATTTATATGTTATACTCCAAATAAAATAAGAAAATGCTGCAGGAGGATATTTTCACTTTATGACCAAATCATTTATAAAATGTAGTGCCTTGCCCCTGGGAAGCTGTGAATCATGTCCTGGAACTTTTCCTGTGTATGAACTCCACCTTGCACTTTTCACATCATTCGTATCTTTGAAAGAAGGAGGTAAATGCACTGATTGGATGCTGAAAACTAACACAGTTAAGATAGGATTATTGTTTGTAAAGAGTTCAGGCTGAGCTCTTAGGGTTCGGAATCTTTTCTCCTGGCTTGAAAAAAAAAAAAAAAAAAAAAAAGCAATTCTTTAAGTCAACTTTAGTGAATGAAAGAACAATCGATTTCAGATAAAAGGGAAGCCTGCCCCTAGACTGAAGGCACAGGCAGGGCTAGGAAGTGGTGGCTGAAAGGAAGGGCCAGACATAGGCCGTGGGGAATTTTCTGACTGTTTCGGAACAAGGAGGAAACCCAGATGCCTTTTATCTCCTTCACACTAGGCTCTTATTAGCTCATGGTTGTGAGCTCCTTGAAGAGATCAGAGAGCAGGACAATGTTTATCGTGTGCCTCACTAGCCGCTGTTTTCAGTGCTTCTTCATGTGGTGAGAGACATATAGACAGACTGACAGAAATACCGTAATCCTCTGACAAGGGAAGAGACTGAAGCTCAGAGTATTGAGAACACGCTCCCTTGTTCCCAGAGACAATATGGAGCAAAGAATCTGTACCAAGGTGTCTCGGGCCCTGACACACAGTGTCTGCTGCCCTTTCCGGTACCCAGACTTCCACTTCCTCCTCTTTCTCACACCTGGGAAATGTGAAAACCTTGGACAGTGTAAGTAAAAAGAAAAAGCAACAGAAATACTGTGATTGGCTGGTCAGTGGGTGATCAGAAGAGATATCCGATGATGCTGGGCGTGGCAAGTTTCAGGAAGCATTACTAACTAAGAAGTTATTGCCGTTTGTTGCCTAGTAGATGATGTCTGTCTCGTGAATTTACAAACCCTTGCCAACACGGTACTTACGGCTATGGAAAATCGCTGGATGTTTTCATCCTCACAGTCCTGGATGACCTGTTTTAGCCGGTAGTTGTCATGTGATTCTCCATCAGTCACAATAACCATGACTTTCTTAACTCCCCTCCTGGCACCCCGAGCTTCAGTGAATGCCTCTTTCCTGAAGGGAACGCAGACCAAAACCAGGCCGATTAAACTCCCCCAAAGGAAGGCAAGATGAAAAACCCAACCAAAATATAGCAACTCTGCATAGCCTGTTGCTTCCCCCTCACCCACCGAGATGTCCGCGGACCCACTCTACTGTCAGAAGTGGGAGATACCATGATCTCGTCTGCAACAGTTCCACAGGTACCGCACATGAGGACTAGCCATTTTACCACTTGCCATAGGCGCCCATACAGAACCCTGGAGCGTTTCCTACATTGGACACGTTAAGAACGTGTGACTGGTGTCAGTGTGGGGAACAGTCCTCAGGTCCACTGTCAGAAGCGAAGCCTGGACTGCGGGACGGAAGAAGGAGGAACGGTTTTCTATTATTCACTTACCTTAAGCAAGAACCAGGTCACGTCACTTACATGATTTCTCTAAGTAAGTTCTCATCAAACGACCAACCCACTCTGTCCTTCATTAAATCTCTACTTGTCCTTGTATTAAAATCTGCACCAAATGTCACTGAAATGCAAATACCCACTTGCAATGTTCCCCATATTTAAGATCTATATGAATAACTTTTCTTTAGCATGTGCCTGCAGCACAAATACATTTTCTGATTTTTAAAAAAAATGCTTAAACAAAGATGGGGACAGATGCCAAAGGCTGTTTTTTTTTTTTTTTTTTTTTTTTTTTTTTTTTTTTTTTTTTTTTTTTGTTTTTTTTTTTTTTTTTTTTTTTTTTTTTTTTTTTTTTTTTTTTTTTTGAGACAGGATTTTTCTATGTAGACCTGGCTATCCTGGAACTCATAGAGATCCACCTGCCCCACCTTCAGGGTGCTGGGATTAAAAGCATGCACCACTGCTGACCGGAAAAGGCTAAGTTTTAAAAGAAGTTTGAACAGGAATATCATATGAGAATTGCCATTTTGCAATTCTAATTCCTTAGTGGATAACCCAGACTTTCTAAATCTCTGAAAGATCAAGGTCCTAGCTGAAGTTAATGAATATCAGCTGAAGGAAATGATTGGACGTTCTTTCTAAGAGAGATTCTGGTTCCTCTGAAACCAGAGCTGACTTTATATAACAGAAGAGCAGCCAGGGACAGAATGTAGAGTCCACCCTTTTCAGCTCAAGTATGTCCCTTAAGGAGTTAGCTTGTCTGAAACACCAGCATCTAATGTCCTTTCTTAAAATGAAGCATCATCCTCCATGGGCCTTTAAATTTTTAAGTATCCCAGGAAGGCCACTTACTTTGGGACAGGAGAACTCAGGATTTATGAGTAATTAAATGCAACCCTTCTTACAGGAATGAAAAAGAAGGGAACATCCAAAACAATTATGAACTGAAGTGAATGAATTCACTGAAAATGGAGATAAACAGACTCCAAAACATTCAAAATATTTTTTTTATAACTGGCTCCTCCTAAGAGGAATAAAACACAATCAAAACTGAGCTTACATGTGAAAAATTAATGTGTGAGACAAACAATGCTACAGTATCATTATAGACTCTTCACACAACCTCAAACTCAGATAGATCATGTGAATAACTTGGGCAAATTCCATATAAGGCCATGGTATTTCAAGTGGCATTTCTACAGGAGTGAGAGCAGCTACAATGATTCTTCCATTAGTTACCAAGATAAATATTCATTCTTTGGAAAATGTGCAACTCTTTACAGGCTTAGAGCTTTCTTTTTTTGGGGGGAGGGGGCTCTAGAATTTTTTTAAATTTTTTAATTTTTTATTTTTATTAATTACATTTATTCACTTTGTATCCCCCCATAAGCCCCTCTCTCCTCCCCTCCCAGTCCCACTCTCCCTCCGCCTTCTTCACGCATGCCCCTCCCCAAGTCCACTGATAGGGGTGGTCCTCCTCTCCTTCCTTCTGATCTTAGTCTATCAGATCTCATCAGGAGTGGCTGCATTGTCATCTTCTGTTGCCTGGTAAGGCTGCTCCCCCATCAGGGGGAGGCGATCAAAGAGCAGGCCAATCAGATTATGTTGGAGGCAGTCCCTCTTCCCATTACTATGTAACCCACTTGGACACTAAACTGCCATGGGCTACATCTGTGCAGGGGTTCTAGGTTATCTCCATGCATGGTACTTGGTTGGAGTACGAGTCTCTGGGGAGACTCAGAGCAGAGCTTTCAAAGCATGCTCTTACTTACTTTGAATGTGTGTTCACATACAGTTCATTATTAAAAGCACTTTCAGAATACCTACACATATGTGATTCCTGTGCTTGCAAATCTGCAATCCTATAAGCAGAAAAATGCACAATTGCTCCAACTGTCTGTGGAGTGTGTGTGTGTGTGTGTGTGTGTGTGTGTGTGTGTATGTGTGTGTGTGTGTGTGTTCCCATAAAATTCAAACCATGTGCTTTTCTGGCATTAATGACTGTCATTACCTTCCTTCTGGCATCAACTCTCACAGTCAGATGGAGTGTGACCATGGTAAATTACATTTCCAAAATCAGCTAAGAGTCCAGAGGATGAAGCTACTTAACAGAAAGATTGTTAATATGAGTCAAAGCCCTTCTTGTGAGTTAGGGTTTGCTCAGAAGTGTGCTGGGTTTGATAACAAGGACAGAAGGAAGATCTGGAGATAAGAACTGAGTAAGCCTGGAGAATACAGGAAATACAATGTTCTGCACTTGTTAAAAAAAGAGTCTGTAGGTTCTCATAAAACAAATGTAACCATAGAGCAATAAAATGGAAGGCTGAGAAAATTTAGTAAAGGAAGGAAGTGAGCAAAGCACCACAGATGATGGAAACATTTCCTTTAAAAAATATTTTTAAAGAAGGCAATATTTAATTTGGCTTCTTAAAAATCCTTATATGACCCAGGCAGTAGTGTCACATGCCTTTAATCCCAACATTTGGGAGGCAAAGACAGGCATGTCTCTGAGTTCGAGGCCAGCCTGGTTTACAGAGTAAGTTCCAGGACAGCCGCGGCTACACAGAGAAACCCTATCTCAAAAGCAAAACAAAATGTATATGGGAGCCAGGGGAAGAGAGCAGTCATCAAAGTGCTGCCTTATACACAGAGGACCAAGCTCACTCTCTGAACCCATTTTAAAAGGAAAGCTGGGCTGGGTGGTGGCATAAATTTGTAATCCCAGTGCTAAGGAGCAGAGGAAGGATCCCTTCTCCCTGGCCAGCCAGCCTCTCCTACTAGATGAGTTATACACAAGGAAAAACACCCTGTCCCAAAAAATGTCACTAGCTTATAAAGAATAAGTCACATTCCAAAAGGCAAATATACCTAGCTGTTGCAACGCATCACTTTTTGTATTGCTTTTTACTTTTACTTCTTATTTTACTATTACTCTTATTTTACTTTTACCAGTTGTTTTTCACTTATTTTTGAGATTTTAAGGTAATTTCATTTCTTCTTTCCCATCCCTCCCTCTAAGTCCTCCCGTGTAACCCTTCCTTACTCTCATGGATGGGCATGAGCTCTTTTTTTGTTAATTGTTCTTACATGCACACACACGTGTGTGTGTGTGTGACATCTACAAAACAACTCTGCACCTAAGGCTCAGGAGTCATTAACAGAATCGGAGACAGAGAGATTTTAAGAGCCAGAGGATCGGAAGTCTGCTGTGGCACTGTCTTCTGGGAATGCCGGAAGTCGAAGCAATGTGAGTTTTAACCCATACCTGGCTGTGTCTATTCCAAGGGCTGTCATCGTCTGCAGACCGCGTCTCCGGCCTATTTTGTTGGCTGCAACAAGAACTTCTTCTGTCGATGAATAGTCATTGAGGTTGAACTCATGGGTTACATTTTCTCCGTACTGTACAATTCCAACCTGAAACACCAAGTCGCTGTTGAGTCATGCATTTGCTCATTTTCCTTGGGTTTAAACACATAGGGCCAGTAGAATATCTTTTTGCCTTTTCAGTTAAGCATCAGAATTGATCACCACATAAAGCCTTCTACCCTGGGAGCAACAATCACGGCCAATCTGCGAATGAGAACAGTCCAAAGAAGAACAGTACAACCCCTGTTACTTTCTATGTAGTCAAAGATTTTCATGGAATGATTCCAGTTGGTTCAGAGAGCACACACTCTGCTACCTTTTAACATTCTTTTGTTTTATTTTCTTGTATGACTGATTCATGTTATAACAAATTATCACATTTAATAAAGGAGTTAACAGAGTCTTAGAAACTATTTCCTGGCTGGGAAATAGTTCAGTGGTGAAGGACTTCTTCCATATGTACCAGGCCCAGGGTTCAATCACAGCCAGGAAAGGAAAAGCAAAGGCTACAACAAAAATCAAACGCATGCTCCACAGTGAAGCAGATGAAATATCTCAGAATGTCAAAGCCATTCCCCTCCTAGAATTCCCCCATTCTTTAGTTACCATGTGCTGGTAGCTTTTAGAATTGAATGGAGGCACCGAGCTACACCAGTGTAAATAGGCAAACAAATAAACTGATAATATTTTGAAAAAAAATTAGAATATATTAATTCTCCCTTACAGTTTTGTCAATTATGAGGATAAAAAAAAAGAATTGGGGTATCTATGTAATGGTGAGATGAGGTGTATATTATAAGCTGAATGAACATGAATTCTGCTTATTCTAGTCTAGGAAAACCTGGTTTATCCATGACTGCATTTTCATCCAATTCCTTTACTATATATCCAAAGATCATGGGTTATTTATTGGCAGTTTATTCCCTATAGAATGAAGTATTAAAAATGATGAGGCCAAACCCATGGCTCCAATTCAGGTTATTTCCTTGACTTACAGTTAAATGTGATAGATGTTTTTATTACCCATTTTTAGGTTTAAAATTATTTTATCTAATGACAGTACAGATATTGTACTGTCAATATACAGATATTCCTCATGAAGAGGAAACCATAAATATTTTGTACTTTTGCCATTATAAATATGCAATGAAAATAAAATGTGTTTTCTACTAAGATATTCATCATGCCTAATCCTAAGTACCAAGTTTCATAAGCACTTCTACAGAAGCCAATTGCTCATGAATTTAAGACATCTCAATGAGTTTGTTTCACTTTAATTTTCACATTTTTAGTTAATGAAACAGGAGTTTGAAAATATGAAAAATTTCACTCTCACTCCTGTCATTCTTAAACAGTGCTGTGTATCCTTTCCTTTCACACCCTTGGTTTCCTAAACTTTGAGACTCCCTCATGAATGACACTTCTTCTCAGGGACCTACCTTTGAGCCTAGCATCTGCAAGACCAATAGCTTCTGTTTCAGTTCCAAATGTTCTCCCCTCTGGCCATGAACACCAGTTCATTTGTCTATTCCAGCTAAGTTATCATTCACTTCACCACATCAAGACCTCGCAACTGCCAATATCTTTAGCATTCTAATATAGTAAAGCCAGAATCCATGGTACAACTACTGTAATCATTTACTTGCAAAAGATCTCGCTCATCTAACCTCCTTTCACCTTCCCTATGTCACCTGGCTAACTTCCCACTCTAGCTAATGGCCAACTATCTTCTCCATGTGTGGTTCTGCAGTGCTGGATGTTTCTACACAAGAGTGCCTTGGCTTGTGTGTTGGTCTCCCTCTAAAGTTGTGTCTATGACTCCCCAAAGGGTCCTCACACTTCGGCCCCACCCAACAGTCCCACAACTTGCTGTGAATGGATGTACTTTGTTCCCATTTATTGATTTCAGTCAGATTTTTGTCAAGAGTTGTCAACTCTCCCAGGATAAAGTATTTATCTCAACTGTGCTTAGCAAAGAGTTCACATGAAAGGGGCAGAAATCATGCCAACCATTCAAAGCTGCTGGATTCCAGTAAGTGTTGGGGCTTTACTTTTACAACACAGCTTACATGTCTCAGAAAAATCTGCTGTGAATGTTGGATTATCTGAACAAATTACCCTCACATTAAAAACTCGAAACTCAAAATCCTGGTGTGGTGCTTTGAATGAGAATGTCTCCCATAGGCTAAGATGTTTGAATACTTAGTCCCCAATTGGAGGGACTCTTTGGGGGAGAATTTAGGGGTTGTGGTCTTGCTGGAAGAAATGTGTCACTGGGGTGGGCTTTGAGTGTGAAAGACCCTGGTTCATTCTCTCTGCTTCACACTTGTGGTTCAGTTTCTGCTCCAGTTGCAAGTTGCTGCTTGCTGTCATATTTGGGCTCTTATTCCCCTGGAATCTCAAGCCAAATAAACACTTCCTTCTATAAATTGCCTTGGTTGCAGTGTTTTATCACAGCAATCTACCAATCTATCTGTCTATCTATTACCTGTTTATCTATTTATATCTATCTATTATCTATCTCTCTCTATCTATCTACCAATCTATCAGTCTATCTATTACCTGTTTATCTATTATCTGTCTATCTATCTATCTATCTATCTATCTATCTATCTATCTATCTATCTATCATATATATATTTATCTATCTATCATTCATCTATCATCCATAAGTCATCTATCTATATCTATCATCTATCTATTTATCTATCATATATCCATATATCTATAATAATCATATACCTAACATGTATCATTTATCTTCTAACATGTATCACTTCTGAAAGTTTATTCTTTGTAAATGTTTAAATACAAATGAACTTAGAGTAGTAAGTTTCCTTACCTTTTCTGTGTGCCTGACTTCTAACTGCCCTACCTGAGGCTGTTTGAAGCTGTCTTTAAGGTCTTAAACCATTTTGCTTTGAAAGTTTAAAGAGCAAGAACCTACAGGAACTTTTTTCTCCTAGTCCATTACCCTCTCTTTGGCAGAGAACAGCTGACTGGTGCCTGGACTCAAGATGTATGTCCCTTTCTGGTGAGGCTGAGGCCTGGACTTCACTCTTCTGTTCTGCTTTCCCTCCTTCCTTGCTTTCTGCTGGAAGTGCTTCTATAATAATCAATACCATGTGACCCCACCCCCAACGATCTATCCTTGGGAACTAGACCTGGGGCATTGTCTATACTCCTTCACTCCTACCTAAGCCCAGGCCGGACATCATGGCCTTGACCCTCAGTCACAACAGCGATTGTCCTCAGCTTGCCCACTCTCATGTCCTGCTGTATAGTACCACTGAGATGTTAAGTGAGACATTGCAGCCATCAAATCAATTCCCCATCAATACCTCCAATTGTTCTCCATTGCTACAAACTAGCAAATGTCACTCATTGAAATACCAGGTTCCTTTAAGAAAAAAAAGTTAACCAGTCAGTGGCAGTGGAATAAAGGCACTCCCTTTATTCCAGCACTCCGTGGCAGAGACGGGTGGATCTCTATGGATTCAACACTAGCCTGGTCTACAGAGTGAGTTCCAGGACAGCCAAGGCTATACAGAGAAACCCTGTCTTGAAAAAAACAAAAGGGTTGAGCATTTCTGTAAGTGCTTCTCTGCCATTCGATATTCCTCTGCAGAGAATTCTCTCTTTAGCTCTGTTCCCCATTTTTTAAGTGGATTACTTGGTTTGTTGCTTTTCAGCTTGTTTAGTTCTTTATATATATTGGATATGAGTCCTCTGTCAGATAGAGGGTTGGTGATGATTCTTTCCCAATCTGTAGGCAGTCGCTTTGTTTTGATGACGGTGTCCTTTGCTTTACAGAAGCTTTTCAATTTCATGAGGTCCCATTTATTGATTGTTGCTCTTAGAGCCTGTGCATTAGCCATTAGGGAAATGCAAATCAAAACAACCCTGAGATTTCACCTTACACCCATCAGAATGGCCAAGATGAAAATCTCAAGGGACAACACATGCTGGAGAGGTTGTGGAGAAAGGGGAACCCTTCTCCACTGCTGGTGGGAATGTAAACTGGTACAACCACTCTGGAAATCAATCTGGCGCTTTCTCAGACAACTAGGAATAGCGCTTCCTCAAGATCCAGCCATACCACTCCTAGGCATATACCCAAAAGAGGCGCAAGTACACAAAAAGGACATTTGTTCAACCATGTTTGTAGCAGCTTTATTTGTAATAGCCAGAAGCTGGAAACAACCCAGATGCCCCTCAACTGAAGAATGGATGCAGAAACTGTGGTACATCTATACAATGGAGTATTACTCAGCAATGAAAAATAAGGAAATCATGAAATTTGCAGGTAAATGGTGGGACCTGGAAAGGATCATCCTGAGTGAGTTGACCCAGAAGCAAAAAGACACTCACGGTATATACTCACTCATATAAACATACAATATAGAATAAACCCACTAAAAGCTGTACATCTAAACAAACTAAGCAAAAGAGAGGACCCTAACTAAAATGTTCAATCCCCATCCTGAAAGGTAAAGAGGATGGACATCAGAAGAAAATGAAAATAGGAAACAACTTCGGAACCCGCTACAGAGGGCCTCTGAAAGCCAGAAGAAAACAGGAAACAACCTTGAAACCTGCCACAGAGGGCCTCTGAAAGCTTCTGCAGTATAGACTGTTAAAGCAGATGCTGAGCCTGATGGCCAACTGATGGGCAGAGTGAATGGAATTTTATGTAAGAAGTGGGAAATAGTAAGAGCTGGAGGGAACGGGAACTCCACAAGCAGAGCAACAGAACAAGATAATTTGAGAACAGGGAACTTCCCAGAGACTCATACTCCAACCAAGGACTATTCGTGGAGATGACCTGGAACCCCTGCACAGGTGTAGCCCATGGCAGTTCAGTGTCCAAGTGGGTTACATAGTAATGGGAAGAGGGACTGCCTCTGACATAATCTGATTGGCCTGCTCATTGATCACTCCCCCCTTAGGGGGGAGCAGCCTTACCAGGCCACAGTAGAGGACAATGCAGCCACTTCTGATGAGAACTGATAGACTAAGATCAGAAAGAAGAGGAGAACCTCCCCTAT